TTATTAGGAGCATTAAATATAGAGCTTATAAGAGTACAGGTAAATATATCTATAAAAAGTAATATTTTCAGAGCTAATATAAACATATATATGTTTTATTATATTTAAGGGATAGGACCTAAAAAAATTGATTGTCTTTGAAAACCGTAAATCTTAGAACATTCGCTAACAAATATAGCGTTTTTTCTCTTCTGCACACTTTTTATTTTTGATATTAAAATTATGAAATTCTCGAGTCCCGTGACTGATAAGAGGATCAATTCCAAGCATCAAGCAGATCCTGTATCAAAATGGAAAATTTATTTTCTAATAAGACATTAGTTCGAGATTATAGTTTTCTGAAAACCTTTATATTTTCATTTAATTACAACAACGTAAATCAACATACTAATAATTATTAAACACTGAGCCAAACTGCAATTTTTATAGTAAGCGTCGGCTATTGGCACTTATTTTTGTTGAAAGGCCAGGGTTTGCCCCACCTTTAGGTCCACATATCTTCTAGACTAAAATATGTTGAAGAATATAATGGTCCTACTTGGTTTCAGATGACAGACCTATACCAGATGCAAGATGCAGTATAATAATGCAGATGCAGATGCAAGATGCAAGATGCAAGATGCAGCATATAAATATTACTAATCACTATCTTAGAATATTTACATAACAGACAAAAGGCATAAGCGATATTAATAGAAATATCTTCATTTACGTGCTCCTATATATATATATATATCTATTATAGATATTGAATTTATTGCAAATAGTTAACGAAACAAAATTCTAGAATTGAGATGAGTTTGCAAATATGACGAAGTCTCGTTCAGTATTCAAATTATCGAAACAAAACTTCCACTAACACTTATAGAAACATTTATCATTGTAAACAAATCGCAAGATTAATTAAATATTTGTCGAGGTCCATAAAGTTTATACGAAAACTGGTATTAAGGTATGGAGGGCGAAGCGGCGAGCACAATCGTTACCTACATATTTTGTCTCTAGACTCTAAAGAGAGACGCATCTTAGAGAAATCTTTAAACAAACGGAATTTAATGACGTGCACATATTTCATACTAACGGCATCCCGCGGCTTCGATCGTGGATATTGAAGTTACGGCTCAATCACGCAATATGTTTATATTTTTTTGTTATGCTACCAAACAAAAAATATGCAAAATTGTACGTTGGAACGGATTTTCTTCCACAGTAAATTAACAATTGATCCATGAAAACTTTCGCTTCTTTATACCAAATATATTTGATTCTAAAAAAAAATAATTAAAATTGAACTCGTAAAAAAAATCAACATTATGTTAAATTGGATATTTGATAAAAAATATATTTTTAAATTACTTTTATTGGATACTGTTTTCTACTTTTACTATATCATATTATATTATTATAATAACATATTTTATATTTCTTTCCATGGACGTTGAAAACTGCACTTGGAATTGCTTTGACGTCACACTTTCATGATAATTGCATGCTACACATACAACATGCATGCCGGAGATTAGGTCTAAATTGCATTTCTCGCAAACCATCCAACTCTACAGTGAAATTGATAACCATTTATACATTCTTCTAAATCAAAAAAATATAATAAAATACCGGTAACACATAAGTAAAAATAATTTCCGTTGTTATTTTAAAATTATCTTGATTCAAACAATTTTGTAAATTTCATATGATAAATTCATTTATGAAATTCAATTAAAAATCTCTCTTTTTTATTGGTGTTAATTGAACATAGGAAATCGAAGATGACTTATGTTTTCATAATACTCTTCATAGAAACAAATTTCGCACTTTATATACATGTAACATGGCACATGTTATTAAGTAATAAATATTTATATCTATTTCATAGAATATTCGATATGTCGTGGATTTGATCACGTGTCAGTAACCAATGGTCAGTATCCAACTGTTCACCTTCGAGGAAGTAACGGTTCGCCCTTATAAAGATAGAAGACGATGACGCATTAGAAATAGAAGAAATTGTTATTATAATTATTATATTTTTGAATATAATCTACATAACTAATATAGTTTTCTCTGTATCCTAAATCTAAAATAACGATGTTTATTAAACACAAAAAATGCTACTAAATTATGGTTTTGTTTATAAAACGAAATGGAATTATGAGCAAAAAAATTACACATGTTTGAGAATGTAATACAATTGTAAAACAACTTCGCTTATCACATAACTAGTTAACGATTTCACATTTCGCGTAACGACGTTATTAACACCTACTCAAAACAAGTCATTTAAAATGCTTCGCTGTTTAGAATTATTTTGTTAATTAAAAACTTGATGTGGTAAAGTTTAATAGTTTTTTTCTTTGCCGTTCTAAATCTTAGGTATACGTTAGCGTGTTCAAGCACGCGTGGGATATAATGATCAGTGAAAGTGCTAAGAATTATTCGGTGTATGCATGCTGGACTACTAGCCTATAGACCCATTTCTATGGTACTGTCTCTTTAGTTAAAAGACTTCCAGTTTAAAAGCATAAACCAAAACGTAGACTTAGAAGAAGTCTTGAATACTTTTATGCTATTATGTTGAATATTTTACAGAGAAACAATCTTTTAAGTATATAGCAAAACGGTCTAGAACCATCATTATGTTTGACCTCAATTACTATAAAGACCCAATGAAAAATTTATACCTGACTATATGGACAAGATCCAAAATTTAGGGTTCTTGACGCTAAAATCATTATTACTAGTAATATTGTATCTAACACAAAATTTGCTATTAAAAAAAAGAATAAAAACAATTATTTTTAAGTAATGAGGCAACAAAGAAAGAATCATGAGCATAAAATACTAAATATTTAAAGACAGTCATTTAATAGTGTTGCTCTTTAAGATAGTGAAATGAGCAAAACAATAGAGCTGGCTATAACTGTTAGAATTACACACTGTAAAGTGATGTTTCATAGAAATACAATATGTGGAAATAGATTGCGAAGTTTTTGCATTTAAACGAGTTTTATGACGCTCTTATATAATTAATATTTTTTTGGAAAAAAGAAATCAAATACTAATTATAATTTGAAGAAAATATATAAATAAATAAATTATTAAACCCCTTGTGGGATACGCGTTGCAATGAAACAGCCTTTACATAAAAAATATTAGTTTAATTATTGGCTGTTACTTAAAGGAGTCAAAACATTTTTTTGCATTGAGAACTTCCTCCCTTTTGAAGTTATTAAAAAGTAACTTTAGTTATTCCCTACAACTTTTAATTATTGGTACATTAATATTTAATTATATATAAAAAAAAGTGTAACATTACTTACGTCAATGTAAAAAAAAGATTGATCTTTGCCAGTTTCATTACAAACTGAATAGTTAAAATGTTTACTAGAAATAAATATGTACATGTAAGGATGATTTAATTAAATAATTAATCCATTTTCTGATACACAATCCATATAGATTGCATTTCTTCTCCCTATATATTGCAACAAGGAAACTTAACACATATAAACATTGGAACAAAAAAAATAATTTTGTTGTAATGTAACTTTTTATAATATATTGTCACTTTTTCAACCTATGATATGGTAACAAATAATTAAATTTAATTTAATACCCTTACATTCATACATAGAATTCATGTTTATCTAAATTCTCAAATTTTAACTTTTTGATTTCTTTTCAATAGTAACCATATAGCAGCAGGTTTAATTTTTTATACAAAAGTACCTTTTAAAACTTAAACAAATGTGAATTATTTTATATGATTTAAATTACATATAAACGAAAGAACTTAATCGTTCAAAATCATCGATAACAATTGTCTGGTTGGAAGGAGTATACTTTAAATAGTCTTAATTTTTTAAAATTAAATACAAATCAGATGCTTCAAACCTACACGTTATAATCCTAAAACTATATTCAACAAAACCCACACAATGACAAAAGAATATTTAACTAGTAGGTGAAGGTTATCAATGCCTGTGCAAGCTTTTCACATCAATTTAATTAAGTCCTTAGTTATTAGCCTTTACGAAAAAATTTTTAAATAACATAATGCAATCTTATTATTATTTCTTGTTCACAACTATATCCTTGGATTCTCCATAGTTGAACCTTATTAATATTATCAATTAATAATATTATTCATGATAGACAATAAAATTAAAACATATTAAATTTAATCACAACACGTAACATATCATCTAAATCTTTCTCATTGTAATTGTATCTCATTATCTAATTAGTCAGATCGTGTTAATTTTATTTGTTCAACGACTCAATGACCGCCCACTCGCCTCTAGGACAGCAAACAAACACGTACCAATGCAAATAGCGCCCACTAGGAAAGTTAAAAGATTTAATTAATTGAGCATTAACAAGCTTACTACTTTGTTGCTCTAAAGTAACCATGCAACGTGCATTCGTAAGAAATCCTCCTTTTTACTTTTCTTACTTTGTTTGGATAAATGAGATGAAAAAAAGCATTAATTTCGCACATATAAATAAATGTCAAAGATAATTAGTGAATGTTACTTCATCGTATAAGTTATTATATGTAAAATCGTCGTGACTCATTGTCTTTTTTTTGCTTTAAACAATATATTAAATGAAGAAGACGAGTATGATAACATCGACAGAAAAGTAAGTGACGTAACAGATAGCCTTATATGATTGCGTCAGTAATATATTTAGTAATAAAATTAAGGACGAATCAAATTAACAGTCGCGAGGTTAGAAGGTCGATTCAAATTGTTTCCACAGCATCAAGAAACCGTCACGTGAGATAAATTACCACTTTTGGTGACACATCACATATTTATTTAATACGAATTAACATATTTTTTGTCACAAGTTCAAATCCAATCTACATAATATTATATTATAATGATTTGCAAAAATAGAATGAATTATATTGAAAGTTAAATGTTTTTAAATTTATTTCTAAAATATAATTTTGCATACATATTCATAAGTGTATATAAATGTTAGGAACATTTTCATGTCTGTAGTAACAAGGCGACGCCGGCGAGCGTCCACTTGGAGGGCTTGTCTTTCGTCTTGAGGTTAAAGGTCCAAACATACGTCGGACCCCGGGTGCGGGTCTTATACACGGGACACTCGTACATGTTGCGCATGTCCTGTTTGTCCTGGGTTATTGCCTGAAATTTATTTGCGAAGTTATCTTTTTAACGTACAGCGAGCATTCGAACGTGTACATTCGGAGAACATATTACTTGTTTGTTTTGGCTTTCATTGCATTTTTTTTAAATCTATACAAATTGTGTGTACAATCCTATTGTTTTTGTAATTAAATATTTATAGGTATATTAATGTAATTTGAACGATTTATAAATTTCTGTCTTTTAATGTAATTTGAACGATTTATAATTTTCTGTTTTTTCAGTATCGGTAAAGAAATTTTAATTCAAATAAAATGAATGCAAATGAAGAACTCCGCTTATTATTGTCAAAAGAAGGATTATAATAGAACGTCTCTTAAAACTCCTTCATTTGAATATGTGAAAATTTTGAAACATTGTCTCCCATAAATTTGAGAATAAAAAATATTCTTACGTAATAAACAAAGATGGTTCAGATTTAATCATATTATTTTTTTAAAAATAAACAGTTCCTAAGAACCTAAGCACAAAAAGTAAGACGAGAAAAAAATCTCCCTTTCTTGTTTCATAAAATCGGGTAAAAGGAACAGTTATTTTAATAGACTAGCTACCCGCACGTTGATAACTGGCATGGGAGGGAATAGGTCTTTAAGCCTGGAGTCCATGATGATGCCAGCGTGCACATCCCAGCGAGCGCCTTCCATAAAGAGACCATGAACATAAGCTCCATCACGCGGCGCGCAACGAGTGTCAGCTATACTGTAAAATACAGATTTGACCGTCACATATCATTGATTCTTTACAAAATTACTCTCTTTATTAGACCTTAGTAAAAAGCCATATTTCAAAAGCATGTATATGTACGTGAAATCCTCTTTCATCTTCTTAGTAACATCACATTGGAGACACATCTTATCCAGTGGAAGTTCGTATCGGCGAGCAGTACTCTGCATAATGGCAGTCAACAGACTTTGAGGATTGAAAAAACCTCCCAACCAGACGGACATTGGTAACTGCAAACAATATCACACATGAAAAATATATATATATTTTAATTCAGTAATCACAGTATAATAAGTACTTACAACAAAATCAGTAGCCCAAGTTTCCAACTCACGCAAACGAAGAAGGAGATCCACAAACCATGCAGATAAACCGAGAAGGGAAGGATACGCTCTATTTGCCCATATAGCAGGTACCTAAAACGTTAAAAATATAACAATTATTTTTTGTTTTTAATTATTTAACATATTATTATATATAGTGTCGTACCTGATCTAAGAATAGAGCATTTTCTAACTCTTCCATGTCTGAAGTAATCGTTAATTCACCCTGCAATCATATAAGAAGGTCAAAAAAGTTCTTAATTTATTTCCATATATAATTATTGTACGTACTTTTAAGCCCAAATCTAGTTCTCTTAGTGATCGCTTCATTTCTCCAGTCAAATGATTCATTCGCTCACACTCTTGAAAGGCAACTATGACATAGGGTGTCCTTTCCTCGACTTTTCCCATTATCTCCACCATATTGAATTCTTCAGGTAATTTCTCCATTACTTCATCTAGCATTTGCTTTACCTATAACCACAAATTTTATTTTCTTTAATGTCTGATTAAAAATTAATTTATAAAAGAATAAAAATACTAGTTTTTACCTTATCTTCCCTCGTTACAGTTGAAGCACCAGATGCTTGAGCGTCCCTTGGCTGCATTTCAAATATTGTTCTGAATAAATTTTCAGAAGTTGTCGTCAAAAATCCGATTTCTGCATTCGGATGGAGACCATATAAATATGGGGATTCTTGTGGCATTGCATCCTCTATGTACTGGTGATAACCTAAATAATCTGTGTTTGGTGGAGCTGGAAAACCGGGAGCCAGTTGAAGTTCTCCATCAACCTATGAAATAAATATAACTCAGACATAATAAACGAAATTCATACCATACAATACATATTATTGACCCACCAAGTCTGGTTGCATTAATTCTTCAAGGTAAGCATTACACAATCGTCTATCCCAGTCATCCGTTATGTGACCACCATACATTATTTCACCGAACAGATACCGCAAGTCTTCCCAAGGGACTTTAGAGTTAGCTTCCAAGTAGTTATATAATACAAACACGCTTATTGTGAGGTCGCCTATTAAAGAGTTCCAATGAATTATTCAATTATTATTTAATTTTAAAGGAATATATACTCGTGCTTACCAACATTGAATGGATATATTTTATTCCACCCTTGAGGACCAAACTTTCTTCTCTCAGCAACGACGGCGTGAAAATAACACAGAGCGAAAAGAATAGCCTTAAATTCGGCTTCTTTGCCACACATTTCGAGTGTTTCTTGATTGAAATTATCCAGTGCTTTATGTAAATTAGCCTACGAATAAAGTATACACATTATGATCTATTGCGTGGTATAAATATAAAAAGTAAATTGTTCATCTAATTAAACATGGTAAATACCTGCATTCCTGTTGGAGGTTCATTAGTAATCTTGATGCTTGACTCCAGTATACCCTGTGGGATGATATGTGCAGCAGGAGTGGCCGCGGGTTCAGCTGACATAAAGAGACGAAAGTCAGGATGACAACCACCTGCAAAACTTTCCATTTTCTTTTCAAGACTGGGAAGCCATTTCTTTACCAGATGAATATTCTGAAAGATAAACATATAATATTTTAAAAAAATTATACCTTATTTTATTTAAGTAATAACATAAAATTTATGAGTACCTGCAACACAACCCAATGTCCCTTCTGAAGAGACTCATCCATTGCTTGTTCAGCCACAATCTCTTGGCCTTGACCTAATGACACGTTATGAAAATTTCCACAATCTGTTGTAAAACCCATTGCTTTACCCAGGGCTTCTACATCTTTCAAAGGATTTACACCAGGCGATAGTATAAAAAATATTGGTGTGGTGGGACTGGTTTCTTCAAATGATTTACTAAATTCGAGAGTCCTGTTTCTCAACATATTTTGAACCCATTTTCTCCTCTATGTAAGTTCTGAAAAATAAAAAAAAAAAGACATTACCTATAAATATAAAATTTACATACACGATTTTGTAATACATACGCCACAGCATAAGTCATTCTATCCGGCCTCAATGCTCTTAACATGCACAATCTCTGAAGTGCAGTTTTGTTTTTCCATTCCTAAATATAAAAAAAATTATTAATTTTAAATATACGTGTAACATATATTAGTACATCTACTTTAAAACTTACCTGAGGGAACTTTTCTCTTTCGGGACATTCCATTTCAACAATCTTTTTCCATCTCTTCGGCGACGTTTCTATATCTCTATCAAGATTTCTAAATTCATCTTTACTAGCTAAGGAACAAATTCCTCCCCAACTATGATTAGAAAGAAAATCCACTGGGCTTGTAACATGCGGTTTTATGGGAAAACGGAGGAAAAAATCTAATTCTGCTGGGGATACTTCCTCGCTCATTAGAAGAACCTAAATTCCCAATATTTTTTATATTAAACAATATAAAATACAAACAAATTTACTAAAACTAGTCTTTAGACGTATACTTATATTTCTGATACTTATAAAACAATGTTTTTACCTGAAAAGTCATCTGCGATGCAAAAATAAGTTTATCACATTCAAATAAACCTCTTGAAGTATATTGAAACACTGAATATGTTATGCAGTCAATTAAATTTTTAATTCTTTGACTGACTTCTTCAGCAGGCTCGGCTCTTGATATTGCCTTTTGAAAAACAACACTAAAAGCCTATAGATAACATTAGTAACATTTCAAATTATTGTAAGCATGTAAACATTTTCAATTCTATTTAACTAAATAGTTAGAAAATTACCTTTAGTGAAAATTGATATATTGGATTAATACTATTTAGGTCGTTCAAAATGAAATATAGAAGTGATGCTCTAGCAGCTGCCGGTCTGTAAAATTCTCGGGCTTGATCGATTTGATGTGATGTGACTTTTGCCTCAGTTACCTTAAACAAATACATGAAAAATAAAACAAAAATGTTTACTTTCTTAAAATTACAAATCATAAGAGTTTACTTTTTTTTCTATGTCCGCAGCCGTCTTTTTAGTTATTTCTAAGTTTTCTATTAAAGCTGTATCCCCCAATATATTTTCACCCGCAGATGAAAGCCGAGAAAGCAAATCGTCTTCAAGTTTTTTGAGTTGTATTTTAAACTCATTTTGTTGTTTAGTCAGTTCAGCCTTTAGTTCTTCTAAATCTGGTCGCTCTGCTTTTACAACTTCTGCTAAAAGTTGATCTTCAAGACCGTCGCGAGTCACAGTGAAGTTTACTAATGTTGTTTGTGCTTGCATCTCTGGCTTGTAGTGAGGATTTGCTAACTTTGTATGTAAAATTAGCCTAAAGTTTGGACTATATTCAATTTCTTTGTCACCAATTTTAATGGCCCTGAAATAATTACAAACCAAATTAAAATAATACGCTGGTATATTGATAAAAAGTTTTAAGACACATACCTTCCCTTTTTAATCAAGTTACGTCCTAATAATGGATCAAGTACTGGATCTACAGTTTCTCCTATATTCTCTAATAACACCGTCTCACCTTTAATAATAGCTTTTTCTATAGTATCCAAGTAACCTTTCTGTCCTAAACGAATGACTCGTAAGATATCACCATACTTTTGTTTGATCCATTTTACACGCCTTGTAACTATGATAGAAAAATTTTTTTTTCTTAATAACTATGATTTTTGGTACATTTATAATATGGAAAGTAACAGGAAATAATATTACTAGATTTCATTTCAATTATTTGTATATACATATTTTACCTGTGGATCTATCATTAGTGGCCAACGATCAGAGTTCGAAAGAATTGTAGCATTTTCAGTACTCATACGATCGGATGGCAGTCCTTCGTTGTGCCACATAGCAATGGTTGTATCATCTGTTAGCATTGTCAGTGGATCAATTCCTTCCGTTATCGGTATCGGAGGCTGATGAAAAAAAAAAATAAGGCTTATTAAATACTATGATATTTTAACACACTCTAATTTTTTAATAACTAATCAATAACTTTTTTTTAAATTTTTACTAAATATAAAATCATAACTTACTTCAAGTGTTTTCAGGAAGGTAAGCCAATTTTTATGGAGTAAAGTCCAACCTGTACAATTTTGTGAAACATCCAACGTATGAAATAAAGGCACATACAAGAAGAACATCGCCCGGTAAAGTTGTACTTTGTTGCATAAATCTAAAAAACAAGAAAACACTTTATAATATGTATAAACTTATTAATTGTAAATATAATTTTTATTGCATTCATAAATTTATTCAGTGGCGTTTTTAAAATAAAAGCTTTGAATTAATACGTACATAGAAACTGAATCGGCCCATCTAACATTTTCACTAGCCAAACCATTAACAAGACGATTAGCGAGCTGAATCGTCCTATTGGTAGCGTCTGCTTCTTGCTGGCATTTTAATTTCTCTGCTATTGCTTTTTCGAAGTCAGCTGTTAGCGCAGCAAGTTGTTCTTCTAGAGACTATTACCATGAAAACATTTTATTACTTATACATATTTTATTTTATATAAAGACGAGGAATAAATCAAAACCAATCTTATTGCCCAAATATTCGAGCTGCAATAATCTTTTTTTTTATGAATACTTACCGCAACTTTAGATTTGATTGCTTTTAATTTTTCAGTGGCTGCTGCTAATTCGGCATTTGCAGCAGCTAAGGCCTTTCTTTTTGGTTCGACATCACAAAATACCTCAAAGAACTTGATTATATTTATAACCCACGCACAAGTCCTGCGGCTGCAGCAGATTTAGATCTAACGAATTCTAAAAGATAAATTATAGAAGAGACTTTAATAATTTTTCGCCTTATACATAATTATTGTTAAGATTTTTTCCTATAAGATTTACCTGGCTCAAATTCGGAGTCTTTTAAATATGGTTGTATAGCCTTTATAACATCAGGATGAATGTTTTCCTTATCATAATTGATTAATTGTTCCAAAAATACATCAACTTTTGCCATCATAATCTACAACATTTTAACAAGACGACATTGATCAAATCACCATACATATTATAAATAGCAACTATATATTCTATAATTTTTATAAGGCAATGCTTAATGAATCTTAATATACCTTGGCTGCTTTCCAACTTCTATCCTTTGGAATTTTTCCACCAGGAGCTAACAAAACCATTACAGCAGCCGTTACATTCGTTACTGCTCCAGGTGGAGAACCAAACGACTTTAATTCGGTCAGATTTGCTTTGTTTAAAGTATTCAAAGCTTCTTGAGCAGCTACCAATGCCGGTTCAGCCTTTATAAGATCTTCCTCACAATCTTTTTGCTTTTTAGACACTTCCTCGGCGATTACCGCAACCCTTTCTTCCTCCTCATCAGCTTTAGAACAACAAATATTTTTTGTTACCAATATGCTAGCACTAAAGAATTAACCAATTCTGGCATCTTTTACTTTACCTAATGCTTTTTCACTTTGTACTTTTGCAGTCTCTATGCCCACCATTTCTATAAGTTTATCTGCAGCTTCATTCTTTTGTTGCAATTCTATTTCTTGTATGGCCAGTTTAGCTTTAAGCTGGTCTACCTGAGATGCTGTGCTACGGAGCTTTTCCAAACCATTTTCTAATCTAATTAATGGATAGATCACATAAAGTCATTAATATATATTTTAACATAATAATAATTATTATCATTATTATTAATATAGGTAATTATAATTAATTCTTATATTAGAAATCACATTTTTTTTCTATTGACTCTTTATTCATTATTGTTTTTGTCATTAGTGTTTTACAAATACAAGTTAAGCCAAGATAAATACAACATACCTGGTGATTTTTGCTCTAAGTTCATCCGTTTTTTGGCTCACTAATTTTGCATACAAACTTATTTGTTCTAGATAACTCTTCGGGGTTGTATAATTGTATCTCCTCTCGTTTGAAGATAAGCTTTTGATATAGTATTTACTGATGTGTGTACATACGCCATAAACCTTGATACTGAATCTCTTAAAGTTATCTAAAACAAAAAATTCTTTAAATATTATCATTAACATAGATATGTTTTTAATATAAATTATAACATACAGGTAAAACCGATAATTCTTCTAAAAATCTCATAGATACAGAGACCAAAGCTTCTTGAGGCCATTCGTGGAACCAATTGATTGATGTACAATTAATCAAAGCCGGGAACTTCCTAGATCTGACTCTTAATGTAGATCCCACGGGCGAAAAACACAATACAACCTTGAGTTGCTTACGAACACGATCTATAAAGAATTTCCAACAAATTTCACGAGTATCTGGCAGGCCCGCACCTTTAACCTACATATAAAAAATTAAAAGAAGAAGTTAAATATTGAATTATTTATAACTCAAGAATCTTAAAGAAAGTTTAACTTTATGTACCTCATTTCTAACACCAGCAATAATATTCTCCATGTCGTCATCGGGGAACAAATCACCTACTTCACCGGAGGCTAACAAATCGTTTATTAAAACCAAAAACTGTTCATTGGCTACTTGAGCATCAGTCATCAGGAACATTATACCAACATTTTTGAGACCAGTTTTTATATACAAACTGGAAAGTTCGTTCTAAAAAGAAATACTTATATTTTACTAATTTGAAATTTTAACAGATACAAAGTAAAAATTATGTATATTTTTCATATTACCTTCAAATCGGATACACCATATCCCTTCTTAAGTTGAATTTGAGACACTTCTAGGCTGGAAATAAAAGCTGCTAAACGAGATAACGACTGTTTTCCAGATCCACCAACTCCAACAAGAAGAGCACTTCCACGGGGACTTTCAAGTATCCGACTTATTCTAGATAAAATATATAATAATTAATTAATTAAATACTAAAAACTATAAATCTCATAACTTTGTTCACATATTTTTTTTTCTATACCCAATACCTGCATATGTGCATCATAGCATCTTCAAACAAAACAAGATTCATAGCTGCAATAAGGTCATTGTAACTTGAAAGCGCCTCAGTAAGAAGCCTATTAAGTTGTACCCATGACGCTACAGGCATGTATTTTGGCTCTCCGATTCCTCCCGCAAAATGACAGTAAATATTGGGACGCTCAAACACTGTTCCTTCATCTATATCCTATGTGATATCAAATATAGTTTTTAATTCCTTGAGTATGACTAATTTTATTATGTTTGTGAACTAACCTCAAAATTTTTCTTACAAAGATCGACTTGCATTTTCAGGAAGGCATCAATGTCTTTATCTTCTGTTAGTTTGTCCCCATACACTCTATGTGTTTCGTGTAGCCAAAGACGTATTAGATCCGACGGATTTACTAAGCATTCATTTGTACTGAATAGAAAACCCTAAAACATAACATTATCAGAAAATATTCTTTACATTTTTAAATTTTCATGTTTTTGTTTTTACTTTACCTGGAAGACGTTTGATAAATCTCGCAAGTTGAATATGTAATGGAATTTAATAGCCGTTGGTAGGAATACCTGCGAGACTTTGTTATGGAGAGCTATTGATGCGGCCACCACATTTTCTATTAACATAATATGAAAATTAATTTGAGTTTTTTATTCCAGATATAGGCAAATCAATTCATTAAGTCCTTGCCCACAGTTACGTCGCGAAGACTCGGGTAAACAGGGACAAGAACTCAATTACATGGTTCGCCTATAAAATTTTATTAATTTTCTATATATATATATATATAAGCAACATGTAGTCATATCAATTATATGGTGCTTTTGAGAACAGTAAATATAATTTATGTATTATTTACGACACTCGTACGTAACTTACTTGAAATCTTTGCAATTTGAGCATTTATCCTTAGCTCTGGATTAAGCAGATGCTGACTGAGTATGTTGTGGTAGATGTTGTTTAAAGCTTCTATGTTAGGAAAACTAATTGCAAATACACAAAAATGTCGCTGAAGTCTCGGATTAATAGTAAAACTACCAGATGTCGGATTCATACATGAAACGTATTGAGTATTATGGATGTCTTTCAAGTCAGTTTTGTTCTGTCATACCAATGGTTGTAGTCTAAATGCTGTCGTATGATTGTGTGTGGTTGTACAGTGCCGTAAGGATCGACTTCAGGCATGTTCATATCATCTATAAAATAAATTAAAGTCTTATTCCAGGTGGACCATAATTCCTTCCTGCTTTCTTTTCAAGTGGTTTCTCAAGAATCTTTTGCAGCATTTCTGAGGTTGTATAAAAATTAAATGGAATTGATTGAATAGCATACGTTTCCGGAAGACTGAAATTAAAAAGTTTAAATTTAATACAAAGTGAACAACATACAAAAAATAGTACATATATTTATTAAAAAATATTGAATTACCCTTGTAGTTTTTCGTTCACTAATACTGTCTTTCCACAGCCAGCGCTTCCAACTAACATTACAGGATGCTTATTTTTCATCAAGAGATCTAAGAAGAATCTAATTCTTATTGTCTCAGCGGTTGGTACTAATACAGCCTAAAAAATCAATGATTAAAATAAAAAAATGTTAAAAACTTTATGAATTTATTACATACTTGCCTGTAAAGGTATGTCGCTATCCAATTCAAATTTTGTAATTTTTTCAGTCCAAGGTGTAAACTGTTTCGTTTCAAGATCAATATAATAGTCAAAAACGGTACCACCAGCTGGGAAACTTGACAGTTTTAAATTCATTGACCCACCATTTGAAAATTCTAAAACAGATGACAAACATTTTAAAAAGAGAATTTAATTTTAATCTGCATATTTATCACAAAAAAATAAATGAATGAATTACCAATTCTATAATCCACATTTGTATCCTGAAACATAGCAGAGCCAAATGCCCAAACGCAAGCAAATACGAAAAATATGTCATGCCATTCCTTTGGACAATCTGGAGGAGTATTTTCAGGAACTAATAAACAACTCAATAGATGACAAAGCATCTGTATGTGAGCCATGTCTGCTATGGGGGTTATTTTTTTAAATCTATTTCGAATATTTTCTAAACAAGGAGGAATGTATTTATCGAATAGAATAACCAAATTCGATTTTTCCGCAGGAATCTTTCTAGTTTCCACCCAACTGGTTACGTATCTAAAAGTAATATGAATAATTAACATATAACTGCCTAAATAAAATAGCTCTATTATTTTTACAATCAATTTACTTACGGGTTCCATCCCAAATCTTGTGGATTGATATATAAAATACCAGCTCTAGAGACAGTAGCGGGTGTAGCAGTACGTAAATTTGATATTTCGAACATCAGTCTCATGCTTGGTGTTAGGGCAATTCGCTCATTACTTGCCAAAGTTAAAATTTTATTGTCATCCATTACTGTATTTAATGACTCGATCCACATAGGATCTATGTCTCCATCTAACACAATCCATTTTGGATTCTCGCCTACAATATTTGCCTGATCTCTCATGATTACAGAAAATAAACCATCTTTCCATTCTCTAGTTGCGGGGTTGATAATTCCAAACAATTCGTCGTTTGTAACCGCTTTTGGATTTAAATCATTAAACAATGGTTTTTTCTTAAGATTTTGATAGGTTTTAAACAAAGTTTTCCAAACCTGAGTTTTACCAGTACCTGCATTGCCAACAATGAAAACGGAATGTCTACTTCAAACAGTTCTTCTAACTGTACTACTTTTAGTATAAAATTATCTTCTGGTTGAAGAAGCAAATCCATAGCAGCTTGTTTTACTGTTCTCTCAAATTCTAAATCTCTTTTTCTAGGTACTTCTAAGGCTGGGAATAGATCCCCAATCAAACCCATAAACACTGGCATATCATCAGTAACTATCTTTGGTATATTGAAATCACGCAAAGTTCTCATGAGCACTTCTTCTTCTGGTCTCCCAGGATCGCCTCTCTATTTTAAGGTTAAAAAAAAAGGTTATGATAAAAAGTTTTAATAAAAATTTCCAAATAGCGATTCATTTACCTTTAAAGAACCGGCAACAACCAAACCGATTTGATAGCTCTTAAACCCCAATCATAATGATCTTGCTTTGATAATAATTCCTTACATAAAGTATATAAAGTAATAAATTTTCTTGCTAGTATTTTAGCATCCTGAAAACCTTCCGCTACTAACATTATTTCGCAAATTAACTCAAAATCAGGCACCACCATAGCACATGGCCTAAACAGAGCCTTTAGATTTTCTGGCAATTCGGTTCTCCCTGCGTAACCAGGATTCATTGTTATGAAAATGCCCACAGTTGGAACCAAAACTATGATCTCTCCCATAAAATTAAACTTATCTTTTTTATCCCTGAAATTATTTAAGGAAAATTATTTAATTCAGTTGAAGTTTCATGATAAATGTAATTAATTTTAAAATGAACCTTATAGCATCTTGAACAGATTTAACTTGCACTGCTACAACTGACAGTACTTCAACCGAAATTCGGTTAAATTCATCGAAACATCCCCAGGCACCAGTTTGAGCTAAGCCTTTATAAATATTTCCACAAGACTGAAATAAAAATATTTAACTGTGTCTTTTTTCTCTCACAAAACATATTGCTCGTTTGTTTGTGGTGATCTTAAAGTGATTATTAAACTAATCATTCTTTGTATAAATGTATTTTACATAAAATACCTGATAATCCATCTGTTCCGAACAATTAAACACATAAACCATTATCCCCAAAGCTCTGCCTAAGTCTTTTGTGGTTTCGGTTTTTCCAGTTCCAGCTGGGCCTGCAGGTCCTCCACCCATTATCAAGTGTAGGGACTGTTAAATATTAAGGTTAAAAAACTTATGAGATTTAAACCTTTCGCGAGTTTGATTTATTTAAATGAATATAATATTTTTCGGATAAACTTTACTTTTGTAAAAACTACATTCTCCCGACATTTCGGCTACTTTTCAGTAAGCGTGATCACAGGCTGACGGGATGTGAAACCATTGATTCATATAAATCAAAAAAATATTAGTTTCATATAAATTGAAAGATTTATTTTTCAGAAATATAAAAAAAATATTATTACAACATTTTACCTGAGTTAATGTTATATAACAACGATCAGTAAGAGGGGTTATTACTAATCTTGGTGTATTTCCTAAATATTCATAACTATATGTGAACTGAGCATCGCAAATGTTTGCAAAACAATGAAGTTCTTTTTCACCCCACCTGAAAATCATAATTTATACATCTTTAAGGCCGGTATTAAGTATTTTTACTGCTTCTATTCAATTTCAATTAATACTTTTAAATAATTATATAATCAATGGGTAAAAAGAAAGACATGAAAACGAATGAATTGACCTTAATGAAGGTGAAGGTAATTATTACTACTGGGTTTTTTAAAACCTGTGTCTTAATTGAGATTGCCATTGAAACGCAGATCCTGATTCAACTTTCCCCTGAATCAACTTGCTGACAACATCTCTTGAATGGACATCGATAGTACATATTGTCATGATCTTTTGTCGGTCTTGCTTGCTGAGTTCTCCAATTAATAGCGTTATTAAAGTACTAAGTTGAGACAGTTGCTTTTTGTAATAATCTTTAAGTGCATTGTCATAACCTTCTTCTAATCTGCCAAATGCAATATTAACTTCAGATGTCCACCAAATTTGTGTACAGCATAGAGATACTTGAGCCATAAAGTCAAAAAGCCATTGTTCACGTGACTTTTCTTCATAGGATACAATCGCTTCTCCAAAATATTGTCGAATTGACGATCTCATTATGTCTTGTAAACGATTCAGCCAAATTTCAACCTATAATCGTTTTTAATTTTAAATAAAAGTCTAACAGAACATATCCATATATTTAGAAAAGTAATGGTTTTTGTACTTACTGGTCCAGTACAGTCACAAAGACCTTGAAAAGAAACAAGTTCACCATCTTTTGCTATCATTCCTGAAGCTGTCTTTTCTCCAGGTTTCTCACTCTCAATAAATTGAAGTTTAGCAATGGAATCAAATAATTTTGTTAAATGTCTGCAAAGGCAATATTTTAATTATAACCACACACAAAATGTAATTTAAAAATATTTAAAATATGTAGTATTTTTTAAATAAATACCTTATGACTAATTCTGCCTGATTGCCGTTCGATAAAATATCCAAAAGATCTGCTGATGATACAAAGTAGAATCTTGGAAAAGCAAGTCTTTTGGTTTCCAAATATTCAGCCAGCGCCTTTTCACATATAACTAAATCTTTTTGTAAACTGTCTAGAATGCCCACAAGTCCCTCCTTATTTGTTCCCTTAACAACATTCGGGGTTTTGGCCATGTCACTTGATAAAATCTGTAAAACGGGTACAAAATTTGAAACAAATATGTAAATGGAATGTGAATGAGATATTATAATTTAAATCTCGAATTCACGTGTAGTATTTCGTATTGCAGTCATAAATAAGAACTGCAAAACATGCTAGTTGCTCCTAGAAGGGCTTGTTTATTTAACATAATCAAAACATTCTCTGTAAAAAATATACATTTATCATTATAGCTGCACTGTTTCCCTTATCTTGTCTTTTCGTTAACAATAAACTCGTATATTACTATTTAACACCTAGTAACTACCTGTACATGAACGATAATACATACATACATCTATCATGATAACAAAATATTTCTTACTTTGAATTCAGCATCTATTCTATCAAATCTAGCAGAATCATCTGGCAGTTGTTTCCTTATATCCTCCGAACTCATAAATATACTTTCTAAGTGAGTCCAAGTCCTTTGAACTTCGAACCAAACTGTAATGACTTGATCTGCTATAGACAATTTTTGTTGCCAGCCCGAGACCTCTTCTAAGAAATGTGCTATAAACTTAGAGGTTATTAGATTTTGTAATTGTACCTGAAAAATGAAAAGTAATATCAGTAATTTTCTAAGGAAATGTCTGTTGTTTCAAAATGTAATAGACCTGATTCTCTTCGAGCGTTTCTATGAGTTCTTCACTGGCTCTTAACAAAACACAGCCAGTTCTTGTGTGCACTTCTTGCTCAAATTCCATTCCGCTCCATGTTACGTTGAGATCCTTAAGTATTTTTTCCATGGACATTTCTTTCACTGCTTTATCAACAATATTTTTCACTTCTTCTTCGAACTCGTGTAAGTTTAATGCTAGCAAATCAGCTAACGTTGTGTTAGCATCCATTACAATTCTAACCTGTTTTAGAATATAAAAATTTTATTCTAAATTAAAAACATGCGATCACTAACATTTCTTACATGTGTGATAATAATTAACCAATTTTTTTAAATAGGAACGGTGCTTTCGTGCCAAAAATTTTGTATGAGACATTCAATTATTATAGATAAATTCACATTGCAAAAGCTTTGTTAAAATTGCATTTTATAATAGTTTTTATATTTTTCACATATTTATCATACTTACTGTGAGTTCGGGTGGCAAGGCAGCTAAGCTCTGTGGATTATAAACGTATTTACATTCTTACCGCCACATCATTCACACGCAAAATAATTATTTATATAGTTTACAATATTTACAAGTTTTATTATATTTCATATTTATTTAGTTAGATTAGCAAAAAAAAACACAACACCAAGACAGATCATGCACAGATGCACAGTAATAGATATTATTTTATATACAAATTATTATTAATAATGATAAATTTTTCATTCGTATTGGTGACGTGCAAATCCATATAACAGCATATTATACACGCAGTTAATTTACAATTTATATAATTATATTAACATATAATATTTACAATTATTAGATACGACATATTTTTTTATCTTTCACCTTAGTGGTTCTCATTAGTTGGTCCCAATGTCTTTCTCTTATCGCAGGATTTTGCAATTCTGCCACAGCTCTTAATGACGTGAGCATATTTTTTACAGTTGCTTCTAAATTAATGTAGGTATCCCAACTGAAATAAAATTAAAATATAAGAAGAAGCAATTAATTTCCATTTATAAAGGAGACATTTCTTAAATTGCCTTCTCATCTCTTTATCTAGTAATCTTATTTCTTTAGCAAACTTCTTGCATTCAATATCCATATTTTCGACATCAATTTTCCGCCAGGGCGTTGTCTTCCAATCCTCAATACTTGTTCTGACTATATACACGTAATCCCACAATTGCTGAAATAAAATTTTCCAAATTATTGTAAACTATAGGAAATGAACATATAATATAACTTAAACCAATTCAAAAGCACTAACTCCAAAATTAGAAACCTGTTCTTACCTTAAGCATTCGTAATTCCTTTCTACATTGTTTTAGTAATTTAAACTCTGGTACATTTACTTCAAATAGCGAACCTGATTCTTGTATTCCTTTCATTTCGTCTTCCAAATTTAGCATTTCCATGTCAACTCTGGACATAACGAGGTAGGGTTCATCACATTCGTATTTGAAGAACTGTTATAAAATATTTATAAAGTTTAGTATTAAAAAATATAGTATTTAATATCCAACTGGAAAAATTTGTCATTTCTGTAGTCCCTATTATTATAAGCAAAAGTGATCACATATAATATAAATTAAACTCACATCGTACTTCTTAAAAACCTCTCTATAATATGTTACATGTGAGTCAAAAGCCGAAATTTTCTTCCTTATACCAGCAACTTCAGCGGCTTGAAGAGGTGCTACCTGTTGTTTCACTGTTATGGCTAATTTCTTTGTAGCCTGCCATTGTTCCGGTAATTCCTTGAATAGAAAACATCTTGAGTAATAATTTTGATATAATAAAAATCAATCTTTATTATTTTTTTACATACTTGTAGCAGCACATTGACTTCTTCTGGTATATCCATATCATAAAACTTCAGAAGTTCTATGGTTTCAGTCAATGGTTGAAACATGTCATCCGTTGTCAATGTGCGATCCTTGACATTCATCAAATATCCCATTACTGATACCAACGCTTCATAATCTCCTTCAGGTACCGGTTGGAGAAGCCCTAAATATGATATATACATTTTATTTAACACAATATCTGTATTTATTGAAATGTGTTCTCATATTAATATAATTTTAGTCGGTCAATAATAGTTATGAAATTTTTTTTCATATTTCTTTAAATTCTATAGATTAGAACTAACTCTGCATGTAAAATGTCGTCTTATAGCAATTGCAATTGGGTTATAGAATGAAAAATATTTAATTAAATTGATACTTACCCTCATCAGCTTTGCGAATAAAATTACCAAGATCACTGAGACTAGATGTTACATTTTCAACTAAGTGCTCTTTGTACATGTTGCCCCACTTACGGACTGTATTGAGGAGTGCTTGTCGGAATGGTCTTATATCAACCTAAATAAAAAAAAAACAGGTAATTTATATTTAGACGTTAAATAACAGGCGAGAAGAAATACCATTTGTGGTTAATGGTCAAAGTGACAATTAAAACTTAGAATATGAAAAGGTTAATATGAAAAGGTATACGCAGGTGGCGTATGATTAATAAAAACAAATAATTTTATACCTGAAACCACGAGTTAAACACTTTATATGAATCCATTTCTTCAATATCCATAAAAAGATTCTCATAGTGATCAATTTGTTCCCTAAAAGCTTCCATTTTAGGGGCACACGGCGTTGGTTGAATTATTTCTTTGTCTTCGGAACCTATTCGATCTATTTCTTCTGGGGTCAATATCCTACCGTATGTCAAAAATATCTCCATTATAGCATCACGTTCTTCAAGCCATAAGTATGAATAATTTTCAAAAGTCTTACAAAAATCGTTTGCCTCTTCTATAACCTTAAGTAATTAAAAATAAACATGTTATGTAACAAACAGCTTGACTTATACTGAAGGATTTGTCAGGAAAATGTTGAATTACCCTTTCTATTCCATTTAGAATTTCCTCCTTCATTTCTACGACATCTTGATGTCCAACAATTTGTGTCTCATAGGAATCTTTTTTGGTCGGATCTATTCTTTGTATGAGCGTCGACATTTTAAGAATATCTTGGATTAATTTATTAATCATAGACATAAACCCTTTCTCCTCGTTGGGATCTAAGCTCGGGCAGAAAACCATATCTGGTTCTAATAGTTCTAATTGCGCCTCAAATAATGGTGCAAGTTTATTTTTGGGATTCATATGTTCGGTAATATATCCGAGACTAAAATTTATAACAATTGTTAATCGTCTCGAAACAGTTCAATATATGTTTAGAACAAAATTAATACTCAGGTAAGGAAGGAAAGGTAAGGAATTCTTGCTTACCACAAATTTATATTACCTGCAAGCAATTGCTTTAAAAAGAGTCTCTTCAATCAGTCCATCTATAAAAGAAACATACGCTAACCAAATCTCACTGTCTTGGTTATCTTGCATATTAAATAATTCCATATTTTCTTTTATGAGAACTTTAATACGTCCAGCGGTATCCTTGCATTTCACTGTATCGCTTGTTTGTCAGTTCTTGCCAATCATCAAGATTAAGTAATGTATCCTAAAGTAGAATTTTTAAAGGTATTATATTATATTTTTCCAAATTGTACGTTTATAAGACTTTTTACCGAGATGAAAGTTACTAGCTAGCTAACCTTTTTACCGTCTTTTCTTTCAAACAATGGCTGTGACGCCCAAGACTTCATAATAGTTTTTATTTCTTTTAAGTTATCTTGTATTTTTGACATACGTTCATATAAATTACCGACCAACCGATGCAATTCCTGTAGATAATTCCACAAATCTGTAATCAAAAGATATTTCCAGTTAAAATAAAATACATTTAGAGTCTAATGGCATCAGTTATTGATAATTCTGAAATGTTTAAAAACAAGATAAGCTTTTACTCTACACATTTAAACTAGCTCGAAACGCATGTGTGACAGGTAAATTTAGTAAGTCTTTATTCTTAACCACCAGAACCAAGTACTTCCATTTCATTCATATACATATGAAAATAATATTTCCCGATTTACTTCGCGATTTTTTTTTTTTAACTATAAACTAAACACTCCCGACATTTTGGTTACTTTACAGCAACCGTGATCACGGGCAGACGAGATGTGAGTGTCTGTCAATTTGTGTTGTTATTTTATCAACTACCGCCATCGATTTCTTAATTTTTTGGCGTACCGCTCTGCATGCTGACAGCATGCGCTCACGGTGTCTTGATATCCTGCGGTGTGGTCACGGACATGGGATTTTATATTTTTAAGAAGTATGCCGAGTTACACGTAAAATATGCTCTGACCATCAACAGCCTTTTTTTTTTGATGACGCAGGGAAACTCTTATTAGTTTCATTTTAATGAGTACTCGCGAAAACCTTATACTCATTAATTCATATATTTTGAGAAATCATAAAATTTTGGATAACTGTATGGATACCGTTAGTAATATAAAAAAAATAAGATTATATCTAAGCAAAAGAAGTGACCAAAGATTTATATATATTAATATTTTTGATACCTATATTTAGATAATAACCTTTAGAGTTCCAGTTAAGTTCATTCTGTGCCATTTCGATTCTCTCGTCTATAGCCTTTATCTCGTCTTCGACTAAATCAAATTCCACTTTTTGACTATTCTTCCTTATTTGATTGTACCAGTCAATAGTTATGCCAAGGTTGATACGATATTGTCTATACGTTTCTTGTTTTCCAAATAACTCTAGAGATTCCGGAGGCAAATCTTGTTTAAAATCCTTGTTGTTACGCAGATGGTGTACTTCTTTCATGAGTTCCATTATCTAGAATTTATTTAGATTCTTGTTTTGTGGTAAAGAAAACTTGTAAATTTAATTGTTAATATTGTTAATTACTCGTAAAGATGATTTTAAAAGCAAAGTTAAAAAATATATATTTAAGTCATTTAAATAATCAGATTAATATTGAAAATATATTATTCTTTTTCCTGATATATAAAGTAAATTAATACCTCAGGGCTGAAGTTCAGTACAAGATCCGACCCTTGGCGTGCAAGTATTGTGTTATTTATGTTAAGTTCGATTATCTTTGGTATTGTAGCGGTCCACTCATTAAAGTATTTTCTCTTAAAATCCGTGATATCTTTCATCAACTGATCATATCTATCGAACAATTTAATAGCGTCTTCCTTTTCTTTTATCCTTGAAATTTAAAATAGGGAAACTTTAATATTTTCATCTTATTTTTTTGCAAGAAAATATTTTCAATTCAATAAATGGTAACTAATTAATAATTATATAGTCCTTGCTGATTTCAGACGAAAATTAGCCAAATAATCAGCTTTCGCAATTTGCCCCACCCAATAAGCACGGGTGCGGCAAATTGCGAAAGCCAGCTACAGGCTAACAGACTCCATGTTGACGCACTCTTGCAATAAATAAATAAAAAAGGATGCCATAATGATTCAGTTACATATATCTCAATCTATAAAACATTTATCTATTTTATTATGAATGTTAAAAACGGGTAACGCTAAAGTGAATTTATAATTGATTGAAAATAATATCAAGAGATGAATTTATTTCATATTTTTAACTCACGGATGCTGTAAATTTTTAAAGCACGACACCGGTTTCGTCACTCTCATGGCTAATGTGGTCATATACAATATGCCGCCCGCGATTGGTGGAAAAAACGCGTCAATTTCCATATGACCATATTTCTGAAGACGATGGCATTGCTCCTTAAAAAGTTCCTAGAAAGAATATGCCTTATATAGTAAGGAATCTATTTCCTATATATCCTTTATAGATAAAAATCATACCTCACATATATTTATTTCTTCGTCCAGCATACCAATTATTTCGACATATTTTGCCGTGAATTCGTTACTGATAAGTGGTCTGTCTAACACAGAGCCGACAATATCAATCAACTGCAATAATATTGTTATGACTTTATATAAAACATAACAGACTTAAATATCAATAAGGAAAGAAATTAAAAATAAAAATAACCTTAAAAATCCCTTCCAGAGTAGAGCAATTATCGAAAGACTCAACTAAAACGGTAGACAATTTTAAATCTAAGTCAATAATATTTTCCTGGAATACTTTAAAATCCTCATTAAATGTATCGTCGTCAGGGTCCAAGACATCATATGATTTTGATGCAAAACTGTGAAAATATGCATCGAACTCAGCAGAGATATCTCTTATTTGTCCTCCCAGGACACGACCTTTCATACCACCAATTTCAATTTTCTCTAATTTTTGAAATTCAAGTACTGTTTTGAAAAACCATTGGATTGTGTTCAGTCTGTCTAGAAATTTATTCATTCTTTCGAAAACAACGTTTGGGTGGAACGTCCATGGGATAACTGCTCTATCGACAAAATATTTCGGCAATCTTTCTTTAAAGTAATCAAAAGTGCTTCTAAAATTTTTTAGTATATCAATAGTAAGTTGAATTCTTTGTCTTGCTTCATCTATGTCACTATGGAATAGAGTACTTGGATCAAGACATTTTTTTGCCTAAAATATTGCAAATATTTTATTATTATTTTACAATATGATTTTACGATGATTACAATATGCACCAGAAGTAATACTTACTGACCTGATAAATGAGTAAATTACATATCTGTTTAATGAGTACCATAAGTTTTGAAGAACTACAATAATATTTTGAGTCCCTCCACACCATACAAATAATGTGAAATAACGGCCGAAATAATGGTTGACTCTCAGTAAAATCTGTGTCTTCTAAAGCTTGAAAGTGTTTTTCTAGCGTCTTTAAATATAAGTCGATTTCACGAGCCTCAGCCAGTGCTACAAAAAATAAAAGTATTTTCGAATTACTGCTTTTAATTCTATTTGTTTATTTAATTTATTAACTCATTCTAATATTTATTCTAAGGATAGTTCTGAAATTCTTTTTACCTGACACAATATTTTTAAACAGGCGACTGAAGCAAGGATAGTAAGCAGATGTCGTTTTTTCCAGAATGACGGCCATACAACGAACTCGATCGGTACGGAGTTGATCATATATATAGTTTAAATTACTTAAACGTGACTTCCAAAACGCAAGTTCTGTAGAAAATATATTGCATAATTAGTATAATTATCTCTCTACTCACTGAGTTTAAAGTTAAAAATATACGCTAAATTTTAAAGCTTCAAAGATAATATTAAGAATTCTGTAGTATCTGTACGAACCAACAGCTGGCAATGGATTTTGACCATTTTCAAAAGCCTGAGAAGAGTCTTCCATCATAACGTCATTAATCTGCTGAGCCCATTTTATAACAACGCCTTCAATCGCACTTTTGAGATACAGGATCTACCTCTTCTCCTCGTAACAGGCCTTTTTCTGCTTCGTAAACTAGTTCAACTCCGACGGGCATAGGTAAAACCGTTTGACCATTTACCTTACCTTTTACCTGAATACAGATGACTTAGTTCACAAAAAAGTATTGTGTTTTACATATATGTATTTTAAGATCGACAACCAACCTCATAAACAGTGCTTTTGAGATTATGTATCTGCTTTAATATGTCCTGAGAGACTACAAGCGGCCAACCCTCATGATTAAGTGGATTTGAGAGCATCGGTACGAACACTTCATCCACCAGAGCTGCCAGTTCATCGATTAATCTTGGAGCTAAATCTCCTGGATTGTAAATACATTTTTAATATAATAAATAAAAAAAAAGCAAATAATAATTAGTTAATTCAATCTTTATGGCACTTACCGAAAATTACCATTTCTGCGCATCTTTCTTTAGGCACAACGTCGGGACGCTTCTTTACAAAGAAAACAGCCTTATTTTTTAGATAACATGGGAATGATATAACTGGCACTAATTGGGCCGCGTGAGTAAGAACAACGACTAAGAGAATCGGATGAGGTTTATCTAAGAAATCTTTAAGAGTCGATCTGTGTTCCTCTATACTTAACACACGCATCCATTTTTCAGGTTTCAATTTTAAAGATTTCACTACATAGGAACCGATAAAATCAATTCTAGGATCCTGATTGCTAGTCGAAGGGCCGGGTTGATCCATTTTTTTAATATATAATCTGACCCATTTTCTTAATAAAAGTATCTCTGCGGAGGTAACGCTGAGTCGCAGATCCAGGATATAGTGAAGTGAACAAAGGCAGCTAGAAGGCAAGTCACGCAAATACAGTGGTAGGTCATTACAAAACGATGTCTCCTTTGTAACGAGCCATCAGCTTTCTTACAGAAATAGAATAACCTGTAGCGTCAGGATAAAAATGTTGACATAGAAACATATATCAGTAATAATAGTTGCTAGATATCATTTATTCATATTTCAAAAATAAACAATATATACGAAAACAGGATGAAACGCAAAAATAAATCTTCTGTGATAAGTAATAATGTACATTTTGTAAATTATAAACATAATTATCTTAAGGATTAAATGTTTTTGTTACGGACGCTACATTTGCGTTGTACTTTTAAAGGCGAGTACCAGGCACAGGCAGTTCCGCCCAACAGCAGATGACACTCGCGACGTCGCGAATAAGGTCACCTGTCGCAATCATATCTGGCCAAGTTATAAGAAAATACGATTTATGGCATTTCCTTGCAAATATTGGCGTTATATAATCCTAAGACTATTAAATATTGTTGTAACAATTCATTTATTAGTAAATTTTATAAACATTTCTTTCATTTATAGTACATATCTAGATAAGGGTAAAATTATTAAAAGTACCTTTAATTCAAAAAGAAAAATAAAGACAAAAAAATATGCATTGAAAATTTAGATTTTATATTGATTTTGATGTGAATTTTAACGTAATGTTTCATATACTAAAACCTTCGTACTCAAACATTTTTATTTTTTACAATCACATTTAAATTGCATACTAAATAAGTCACATGTTCAAATTGGATACTTAATAAGTCAAATATTGTTTCTTTATGACAGCAAAAATTTTTTTATGTAGATCAACTGCATTATTACCTATTATCTTCTTTTTTGTTTTCTTTTTATATATTGACGTGCATTTAAAATATTTTAAAATCAATGTTTGCGTATGTCTGTATGTCTCTTTATCTGCAGACAACTATTAATTATTTAGTCAGAATCGCGTAAGTAAATATAAGTTTTAAAATATATTAAATAAAAAGTTTGTCCTGTAAATCAAAACAATGAAGATTGCATGTTTACAAAAAAAAACTATCCAAATTATTATGGATTTTCAAAGTTGGTTAAGAAATAAAAAGGAACAATTCTATATTCCTTTATATAAAAGTATTTAAAATTTATGTTTCTATTTTTATAAAACTATGCTCCGATATATCAAAATTCGAACTATCCTCTATAACATTTCTAAAGTAACAATCATCATTCACCATTTCAGTGTGTTGCAAAATGTCTATTTTATTAACGTAATACCATTCTTTTTTTTTTTTAAATACCTATAATAAACTTACAGGCGCGCTTTTGTACTTCAGACGTCTCAAAGCCAAACGCTATTAAAACTACTTGACTCTCTTTTAATATTTTAACTCTTGTTTCATATGCATCAAAGAATAAGAGATAAAAATAAATAAACGCGTTAATTCCATTCGAAAATCTTCTTAATGTTTTTTTCCTCTCAGTACTCAAGATACATTGCAACAAATAAAAATTAAACATTGGCAAAATATTTCATATCCAGTACGAATAAATATATACTATAAAAAAAGAATATGGAGGTATCTATAAGGAAATGAAATAAAAATTCTCACTCTCAATTAGATTGTACATTTTATTTATTTAATACATCACAATATTCTTAGGGGCTTCATAACATATAATGGAGCTCGAGTAATTATAAAATGGGTATATTCATAAATAACATATAATGGAGCTCAATTTAAAAGAATTGAGAATTCTATCAAAAGTAATATTTAAAAATGGGTATATATACACTATGTTAGGGACATAGTATATTCAGACAGTCTAAAATGAATGTAATTAATCCCATAATTTATCTATAAATAAAAGAAAGTCGTTTTTCTACAGAACGGCTTTCTAAAATTGGCTCCAATGGATATATATGTGCAAAACTAAGAGCAATTTAAAAGAATTGAGAATGACGTATGGATGTCAATTAGATATTTGTAAGAAATCTAATATGAAAATTATTTTAAGAATATTTAGTACGGGATATTTTATATGGGCAGTTATATTTTGTATGTTCTCGAGTTTGGAAACCAACGCTTTATTTGTGTTAAAGTTAGACCAAAAAACAAAAAATGTGGTTTACAAAGGAGCACTTATATATACGTATGTATAACACTATGTATCTTTTGGGAGTAGTTCAACTAAATAATAGTATATTCAGACAGTCTAAAATAAAAATTTGTAATTAATCTTCCATAATTTATATAAAAGCCTTTATACTTACTTATATATTTAAAAGTTTTTAGTCTTTCTTGTACTTCAGCTTCATTTATTTTAGCGAAGTAATCATTTAAAATTAAACTCAAACATTAAATTGCCATTTCAGTGTTACCAGGGTAGTTGTATCATTTCTACCTACAAGACAGAAAAACAAACTAAATAGATTCTAATTCAAGACAGTAATAAAACTGACCTAACTACAGTCCTTACATAACATACTACAAATAAAATAAATAATAATATAGTAAAAGGTTATTAAATGAAACTAAATATATTTTTATAATACATTTATTGATAATGACAGCGATGTTGACTCAAAATTTGCTACTTGGCAAAAATATTTCCACTAAGAAGTGAACTATTATTGTTTATTAAATATTAAAATCTCTTTATAATTAATGTTTACAATCATGAAGATGCAACCGACCGCCTACGCTACCACGTAGCCATCTATACTATCCGCTTATCACAATAAAAGAAATACATTACAATTTTGAACTATCATTACATAACACGATCTGGCAAAATAAAGTCGAGTCGATAAAAAATAAAAAGAAATTATAAATACATGTCTTATAAAGCTCATCGATAGAATTGACTGCAATAAATACGAAATACGCTAATCATATAAAATAATTATTATTATAAAAACAAATAATTTCATTTACCTATAAAACTAATAATTAAAACAAAAGCACAGCACATGGTCAGCTTAATCTAATAAAATTAAATTAGGATCTACTCGCCTCGGCTTTAGGATCTATAGTAGGCTAACACTACCAGCCCTAGTGCACGTTCTGATAACCGATCCCTTATAACATTTTATTGCTTCCAACTGACCTTTATATATATTTATTTATTTACTCCATCGCCAATGTTCTACCACCAACCAACTACTGGACATAAGCACATCGAGAATTTCAAAGACACATCATCACTACTATATATGTGAACATTATTAAAATTTTTCCATTACATTTTTTTTTAAACTTCGACTTCACATTGAGCTGTATTCTTGGGGCCGGATTGTTCTGTCGAAGCTACATACGTGAGCTGAACTAAATAAGTACATTATTATGCGGATCAAATTAATTAAAGAATATTTTAAGCACATTGGATTCATTAGAACGACGTGACTACGTCCCGTTATAACACACGAGTATATATTTATACCGTGACTGTCAGTCTGAAATGCCAAATAAATCCAAGACGCGCATATAAAACTTAAAAATCTAAATTGTCTGTTAGAAATATAATAAATAAATGTACGAATGGAATGTTTTAAGTACAACAGTCTATAAAGCATACGGTGATAGTGGACAATGACGTCAGTCGAGGCTTACAAATACACTACAGTGCATATCGAGAACCGCCGAATGTCGATGTAGTTAATATAATTCACTTAGACGTAATATAATATACAACGTAGTGTACAGGATGAGGCAAGTGGCGGGCCGCGAGCGGGAAAGTGATACTTACACACTAGGAAATAAGGAGGCTTCTCCAACGACATGTGTACTCATTAAGTGTACTTTACATATAATAGGATGGAATATACAATAGGTGAGCTACGTACTAAAGATCGCGACGAAACGGTCGAGTGTGGATGGAGCCTAATAAGTAATAACATTACACGGACATTTTGGTAAACCTGATATCAATATAGGACATCTAGTAGACTCGACGCGCTGCCGGCGACCGCCGACGGAAACTATACAGTTATTGTTCAAATGTGGATGGATATAATAATTTGAGGACAAAATTTATCTTCGATAATGATTTTTAAAATTTTAATATACATCTCGCAAAAAACCACTACGAACATTATTAGTTTTTTAATTTTTTTCTTACATCACACCTCATAACTACACAACCTAATGGATCAGACCGCGGCCCAAGTGACGAGCGAGACGAACACTTAGCGCTGAGGTACAAATTATACAATTTTCAAAACGTCAATCAAGTATATAAATGCATAAAATTTTTAAAATCGCTCGCCGCCTGTGCCGGGAACACGTCACGTTATGTGGGCGTCTGTACTGGGTACAAGTCTTTATAAGGACGAAGATGTAGCATTGGACGATTTAGTAAATTCATTACTATTCAAGGGAAAGAAAAACAAATCTACAAAAAATATAATAATTGGTCTTTATGCGGTGGCAAGATACTATCACACTTGTCCTAAGTCATGAGCAATTTATAAAGACGATAACTTGATTAATTTATTGTTAAAAGATAAAATTCATATAGAAAAATGTTTTTGAACATTTCAGAACACAAGAGGAATTTTTAAGTATCGATACAAAGAACAATAAAATTATAATTTCGTTGCGTCGCTTAGAAAGAAAATAGAAATTTGATACATAATAGACAAGCATATAAACAAACTATACATTACAAAAAATATATATACAAATATGAACTTCTGAACTTCACAGATCACAAACGATACATCCGATACTAAATAATAAAATTATCGACATAGCAACACACGGAGATCAACATATGTACAATGGGAAATAATAATTATAATAAAAATCACATAAATTATTTACAATTGTATGGTCAAATGTATTAAAATAATATCGTTATTGTACGGAACCCGACATTAAAAATAATATCCGTCCCTGACCGTTGGACGAGCAACGGGCGGGAGGAATCGACATTGTATAATGAATACGAATAAACGGCCACTTAAATAAGATAAAGCACCATCAGTAATGGGAGTGCAACGTAAAGTGGACTTGGGAACTGTCGCAGTAGTAACAGTCTGTATCGATGACCTCGGCCGAGTTAGCTCCATGTTAATGCATGTAATGAAACTGCTAATGTCGAGTCGAAGATACAAACTATTACTATACACAGAGGACGTCATAGTACATATGTGTGTGTGGGTTGTGTGTATGTGTGTGTGTCTATTTGGCGCGTGTCTTGCCCACAGTGTTCATACTGTCGCCGCGACTCCTCGTCCTATGAAGGTTGTGAAGACCCTCACCTGGAAACATTATCAACACATTATAGTACAATTTATATTTTATTTTATCATCTTAAAAAACATAGAAGAAAAATGTAAATATTGTATATTTAATTTATCAATATACTATGTATTTTCATTAATGATAAGTTACTCTTAAATAAAACCATTTCAACTTAATAGAATTTTCATCTACGCATATTTTATAATAAAGGTCAAGGTGCAATCAATGATTTACACGAGTATAGATATGGTCATTGGTCACCCACAAACAGGGCTATGATTAGTCTGACACGTGACTTCTCACAAAATACAATAAACGGTCAACACAAACTATGAAAATTATTCCGATATTCGAGCTATATTATTATAAAATTAACTATATATCCTTCTACTACTGACCCTTGCTGGAGGCCCTCTTGAGCTCAGCGTCCCTGAAGGCCCGCGCGCTCTTCCCTCGCCGGTCGTGCACCAGCTTGTCCGCGCGCACGAACACTCCGTGCCGCGGACGACACGTGAAGTACCGACTACCGCCCACCGAGCCGTCGTTCTTACCTGTATTATAGTTATATAACGTTATTAATTTGTTTTAATCATGTTTTTAATTAACTTAGAGTGATTAACGGTGAATATGACCCCTGATGTTGGAATAATAATAAAGGCAAACTTTATGATTTATTCAGTACGGAAGATTAAAAAATATATTGAAACCAAAGTACTGTGAAAACCTTTTCTTCTCCTTAGATAAGCGTCAGAAGAAGAAAATGTTGATATAAACAATGATTCGAATATTTTTAAAAAATATTTCGCTACTTTCTCCTCTGACACTATTTTATTTCAACAAAAGTTACTAGCAAATGGTTCTGATAGGTTAATTTTCGTAGTAAATCCTGCTCACCTGTGGGCGCGTCCAAGTCAACGCCCACCCACAGTCCTGGCGCGAAGTGTGTGGCGCCCACGTACGCGACCACGCCCGTGCTACTGCTGAGGCGGATCTGAACACTCTCACCGACAGTCAACCACTCGGGTACAGACGCCGGGACGCTCGACTGGGAACGGGAACTGTCCGCGGACTCATCTGGAAATATATAACATAGGAAATTAATAATTAGGGTATTGGGTAAACGCACGATATTGGGTAAACTTTTTGACAAAAAGGACGTAAAAATGTCTGTTTAACCAAAAAACCACTAGTGTAATTAAAGTAGTTTGTGCAGGTCTTACAACTAAACCCACGGACCCTACGATACAGGTCTCCTAGTGTGGGGTCCAAAGATAATCAAAATTTTAAAATTGCTAAAACCATAATGCACCTCAACCAATGGAAAACATTGTAATAGTTTAAGTTTAAGAAGGTTAATTGTGTCATATGTTAATCTATTATGTAAGCATTGTGTTGTTTTTTTTTTCAATAAACTTTATTATTATTATTAAATTATATCACCGATCAATAACAACCGTCAGTCATACGTACTTCCGTCTTGAATCCTCTCTGTGGATGATGCTGGAGTGTCTCTGAGCGCTCGTCCGTGTGTGTGTGTGTGAGCGAGAGGCTCGTGTGCGGACACAGGCCGGCCGGGGTGGGACGAGCGGGACGGGTAGCGGGAGGACGCGCCCGCACGACGACGTACAACCTAATAACATACAGACTATACTAAACAAATACATCACGATGAGACGAAACCTCTTAGCATTCAATGGATTCACCGTGCGGGTGCCGGGTCCATCGTTGTAGGGAGAGGAGCTTCAACAGTGACTGGGACTTGTGACCCAAGTGTAGGTTTAAGGGGCCCCTTAACTAACGCGCGTTATACGCTCACCTCCACTGTCCATGCTCCTCTCCCTACCTAACCAAATTTGAGAAGAACCTACTATTGGATACTTACTATGCGTTTTTAAAATTATTATAGTGATTTTGTGGCATCCTAAAAATTTACACGCCAATTTCACAAACAAATGAAACTACATATATTTTTCATAGTTACTTGGAGTAAATTATTATTTTCGATTATCATATCCGCCGTTTTATCATCTTGCAGTCACTTGAAGAGGTTGAGAATACGAAAAGCCAAAAAAATCATGTTGGATTTTATAATTATTATAGTTTTCTGGCTCTGTTTAAAAAAAAATATATTATTATTATTTCGCATAAAGCAATCCGCTTTTTATTATCTATTTCATTATATTGAAACATATCATAACTTTTCATTGATTTTTAGTCAAATATTAATTTTGAAAAGAGACTGTTCAAAAATAATATTTGACTGTAATGAACTTTATATGGCAATAATTTTCACAGCACACATTTCTAAGAACTATGGTAAATGGTAAATGATATGATGTTAATGGTATGATGTTAATCAGAGCATTTCTAACCTTTCCAGCCGGCAGAGACGTGTTGACAACTGGGTCAGATCCTGGCGAGTCACTTTCGCCTACTGAAGAAGCTTCACGACTCCTACCATCATGACTCGACTGCTCCGAACTCACTGATTCCACTTCAGCTTCGCCTGTTATATTAAATACACAATAAAACACATTATTTAAGACGGCTACTTCAACAACTAATCTTTATACATATATATAATTCTTCTATGAGTGTATATGTCACTGAACTTCTCTCAAACGACTGGACCGATTTTGATGAAATTTTTTGTGTGTGTTCAAGGGGATCTGGGAATGATTTAGATTCACAATTTTGTCCGCTGGACAGTTTTATTAAGTTAATTTTTAATTTATTAGTAGTTGATGATACAAACTTTTTTTTTTGATATTAGATTTGACAACTAACTAATATGTCAATCATTCTGTCGCACCTCAAAACACGGAGATTAATGGCTTTAATAGGTAAACTCCAAAAATGTAAACAAAAAAACGTAACAGATATTTCTTGATTATAGGGCGATACGAAGTTCGCAGAGTCTTCTTGTATATAATAATTTTCTTACCAAATGAGGTGTCGTGTTGGGGTTCTCCATTGACTTGAGCGTATTCGACTTTATGTTGACTAGACAGTGTCGCGTTCTCCACTGGTATAGCGCCGAGTGGATCTAACATCTTCTCGTTGGCCGTCTCCTCGCAGTCTCTGAGGAACGGATTAATTCTATTCCTCGAGCCGGGCGTCAACACCGGCGTCTTCGCCTTTTCGTACGACACTTCCTCCAGTTCATTCTTCGATTCAACAATATCATGTTTCAACTCTGTGATATCATTTCTGAGCTCCGTTATCTCATTCCTGAGTCCGGCCACGGAAGTCTTCGTCCTACTGAGATGTGTGTAATCCATTGTTTTGTCGAAATCCGGCGTTTCGTCAACAGACATACTTCTGATTGATATAGTGTCATCATTTGTGAGGTTCGTTGAAGACACCGTCTGTGATCCTATGAGGGAAGCTTATTTAATTAGTTAAATATATCAGTTATATATTGAGTTTTCGATAATTGTAAAATATTTACCATAACCGGATGATGATATGGAGGGGGAGTTTTTGGTGGGGACTCGTTCACAGGCGAGCTCGTGGAGTGAGTCTAGAGTCTTTGAAGTCGGTAGAAAACCGCGTGGAGTAGCACGGGACCGCGTGCGCTGGAAATATACGTAACGATGAGAAATTATGGTACCGATTCTTATTATACGTACTAATGGTTTGATTGATAGCTTACATATGAACGTGGTGTTGTCAATTCATCAGAAGGAACTGACTCCGGTTCCGAGTGCGAGTCCTCGTCGTTTCTTCGGCCGGGTTCCTCGTGTAACGTCGTCATACGCATCCCTAATTTAGCACTGGCCGGCGACGCTACACATGATGCAAACATTAAATCACCACGTCCTTATATCGCTGAGATAATTTCAAATCTAGCCAAGCTGTAACACCTTAGTAAAATGCTTATACATAATATCAAATAAAAAATGTGCGTCGAATCGTCCTTGATTACAATTTAAAACGAAATAAAATAGAATAAAACTGTCGCCTGGAACTAAAACAACTCAAATACTGATAATGTTCTTTTTGAATTTTGATAACCGCAAGTACATGCGTCAATGAATCATGCCAATGTAATACCAATGAACTCCTAATGAGCCGAAGCAAAATAAAAATAAAAAATTACGATCATCGAAAAACAGTTCAAATAAAACTGAAAACGATCCTAGAGAAGACGAGAAAATAGACGAAAATGATCACAAACAAAATATATGAATCAAAAATCAAAATATAGAAACAAGCGTATCTAATGAATCTACGACTAATATCTGAACGTACACTTGTTCGGAGTCTGCAGTCGCAGTGAGTTCAGGTTCAAATTCAAGTTAAGGAACGTTGGACGAGCTGCAAGAAAAACGGTTAGGTTCTTATAAATTTAACAAGCCTATTACTCTCATTATGATCAAGCTGCACCTACACATCGACATGTTTAGCTTGAAATATTTTACTTGTCTTGAAATCCTAAACAATAAATAATAATATATAAAAGACATACACGAAATCACTTGATTTCTTCAACCAAAACATCCCTATTTCTTTATCTCAAAAAGTTATAAAATACAAATATATATTTTAGCAATAATTACATAATAATATTGCTTACATTAAATAGACATTATATATACCTACATAATATATTTCATCATTTATATTCAAAGTGCAATACTTCTATCCATGCGTACAATATCTTCCGACATCTTGTTTTCGTTTGTACTTTTTAATTATTCTACATAATAACATGCACCGTTACCTAACACATACACAACCTACACTTTAATATATCTATGTCTACGTACGCTATCTACTAACACAGATACAAAAACTGTCTCACAAGTTTTTAAACTATCCTATGACTTTATATAAAACCTACATGGTATACAATAATCATAATTATTGGCTGTAACACCGTAGTCTGTTGCGTCTCCACAAGCATTATTCATAGTTTTGTGTTGTCTAAATTCAAAGCGCTTTTGCCGCTGAATTATCGGGATTGGTTGTGAGGGAAGGAGGGTTGTATTACAGGTCATGCTCGCCCATGCAAATGAAATATAACACGCAAACAAACACAGGTTAAAACAATCACAGAAGCCAGCCGGGGATGCTAAGCGCGCGGACAATTTACGATTCGATTGTCGCATCATTACCATCTAATTAATTATCGTTTAATTCTAGATCATTCCATTCACTTCTATATATTATTTCTTCAGGCTTTACAGTTTACATATGACAATTTCTGTCCCGTTATCAGCCAATCGAAAAAATAATTTTTCTTAACCAAAATTTCACAGCCAATCAAAAAAATAAACAAAATTAAATCCAATCATATATAATTTGTTTACAGCACATCTATTTTCGGTACCAATGTTGCATAATATATACGACTAATAGTTTTTGCAATACATTTGCCATTCATCAGTACCATATTCATCGGTTTACCTGATAGGAACGAGCCTGAAGGTAGCGAGGTATCGAGATACAAAAAAAAAACAAACAACAATATTAGTTCAAGCTGGGTTCAAAAATTTTGTCGACGAATTAAATACACGAAATTTTTAAAGAGATATTATTTGAACGAAATTCCAATAGTGAATTGATCGTATATATCAAAACCGATATCCGTTCAAATAAGTTCCCATAGATATAGATGAAAAGACAAAGTCTAGAACGGAAGAGATGTAGATAGAAGAGATATAGGAGATAGAAAGAAAAGAAAATTGAGTAGTGTTTAGAGCCATAGCATTGCCACGAAGCGATTGGGATATAATGTAAAAACATATTAAAAATCATGAGAGTGATGTTTTGACGACATTTGAACACGTGTACGACCTTCACAAATATGTGTCTAAGTGTTATATTCACGACAAATTATTACATTTTCCTATATTATTATTTTGTGGGGACATCGTTGTATAACTAGAGACTATCGTCTTTACTAAATCGTGCATTTGTATCGTATTTTATTTAACTCTATTTTTTTCCTACACTACTTGGTGCTCTAAATGCTTTCATATACTTTGTACAAATTTATAATAATTTAACACAGAACTTTACATAAAGTGTATTGTCATTAGTACTTTTCATTCTGCGCCGCTAATTAATGATTGTCGAACAAAAATAAAATAATAAATTTTGTATGAGTGACAGAAAAATAGTGGGTTTGGGAAATAGGAGTGTTTCGATATATTTTTTGTAACGCTGGAAAAAATATTCTAATAAATATATTTCTTACACTAAGAAAATTATTGAACATAAATATCTCGAATGATTAATAAAAAATCAATTATTTAGAATGACAATTTCATCGATACGAGCGAGAATTGAAATTGCTAACTTCTAAGCTGTTAGGCCCTTGAATCGGTGGAATTATCACTCTATGTATTCCAACATCATTTAATTCGATTCATCTTATATATTAAAGAGTTTATATTCTAATATGTAACTCACCGAGTCCGAATGGTTTTGTGGGTGTGGTGTCAGTGTCGGCGTGTGAGGGTCCAGCGTACGAGTGTCTCGTTCGTCGCGGGGCCTCGTCAGCGAGGTCCGCCACGCTGCCTGAGCGACCACCGCCCAGACCCGATAGAGATTCAAACGACGAATCAAGACGCATTATCTGGAGATATACGTAACGTGTAGGGAAGAATAGATTTATGATGGAACATACAACATAGCTATGATGATGAAGTCATTTATCAAATCATGATAAGAGATCCAAAAATGCGTATATACACTAACCATAAACACATAAAGACCTTTTCCTTATTAAAATTCTTAAAGAAAATCTATTTATAATCATGGAAGTTGCAATCCCCGTGTAACACAGTTGTGTCAAATAATAAGTCATACTAGATAAACATTTATTTGTATAATACAAGAGCTTTTTTAAAGAATAAGCCCATGAGATAATACGAATAGTAAAAAAATAACAGAAATAATTTACAAAACTGATACCGAGTATTGACAATAGCGAAGCCACAATACACCAAAAAAGATAACTACATTACAACCGAATCGTCTACAAATATTGTTTCCCAAAATATGTACATGTAATATAGCCATGGGCCAGTATGTATGTATGAAAGGAACGTGTAATGCAACCAATTACAGCTGGCTAAGGGGCCATGCAAACTCACGTTCGTCCCATTCTTGGCGGCGCTCTCGATGGCCTGCGACAGCTGACGAGAGCGTAACACACATATATTAGATTATGTATACGAGTCTCAACGTTACAGAATAGACTAGTCTAGTCCAGACTAGACCAGTCTAGATCAGATCAGTCTAGATAATACAAAGGTTTTATTTATGTATTTGTATTTCATTGAACTAACTCGTGTACACAATTTGTAAGCAAGCAACATTAGTATAAATTTTAAAAATATTAAACACAGTTACATTCATTTAGTGATGGATGCGTTGTTAGTTAACAAAGGATATTAAATAAATAAATTATTACTATAAATATTTTAGCTACAGATTTATTATGACTGAAGTTTTAAATTTAGTAGTGATAGTTATTTTACTAATATGCGTTAAATTTGTTCCCCGTTGTATAGAATTCTTTGTTCGAAATTAATTCCAGCTACAATACAAATCTTTTCAACGGTACTATTAGAAACTTTTCTTTAAAAAAAAAATGTTGAAAATCAAAAGTTTGATTGCGTCTTGTAAGAAATACCCTCAAAAAAATTAATATTATCTATATATATAACCAGCGAAATTTAAACCAAATTATATGAACAATACATATAACCAGCGAAATTTAATCCAAATTATATGAACAATACATATCGGTACATAAGTTTGTTAGTAGTTAGTTTATTAACGGGCAGAGTCAGGGCAGGCAGTAGTAGTGTAAGCTCGCCGGTATCAAAGCACAACACAGACGGTAACGTGTGATCGTATACAAGGTGCCGTGTACTGTACGTAAGCGGACGCAACATAATGTATGAGGGTAGTTTCTCACCACGCTACGCGACGCAACGCTATCTTGTTCAACGGATTCCGACATATCCGCCTGCCCTTGCAATGTTGATACGAAACGTACAACGTATTGCGTTGCGTTGCATATAGTTTGTAAAGCATCGCGTCGTGAGAAAGCTCCCTGAAAACATCACAATTACTAGTGACACGGTCTAGGTACTGGACTGTATGCGTCTGTGATCACCTATACGTTAAGCGGTGATACGTGTGCAAAATAATATAACCGTTACTTAGGAGACCCGACCTCGTTCATTATAGTCTGATGAAAATATAGCTTTGGGACGCGCTATGAAAACCAAATACGAAATAGTATCGCATTTAAATTTCAAAACGTGTAAAATGATGGAGTTTTCATCGGGTACAATAAGTACGTGAACGCTCGTGTTGTATACACGACAACTGAGGATGTCAGTGTAATTTAAGCCGTATGTGATAGTAATAAGGTTCTTTACCTGTGAGAAGTTCGGTACGGAGGCTGTCTTGCGCATGGTGATAGGTTGTCCGCGGGCTTGCTCCAGCTCCTTAACGGCCACGCTCTGTCTCAGACGATCTAGAGTCAAAATACTCTCGACGGCACTCACGCCGCGTGTGTATTTTTCTGAAAAAATAAACAACAATTATTAAAATATATAATATATTCAAATATACAATATAAACGAGTCTTTTGCGGAATAAAAACAACATTTTTGATCTTCATTGTACTATCAAAATTTGTTTATAAGTTTTAATGAAACTAATATTTTAGGATTTACTACGCGATGTTTTATTTTCGACTATAAACTATATACTCCCGACGTTTCGGCCTCTTTATATCAACCGTGATCACGGGCAGACGAGATGTGAGTGTCTGTCTTGTTTATAAATTTTTGATTAGCAAAATCCAAACAACCTTAGCAATTATAAACTTTATCAGCAAAAAAGTTACGAGCACTAAATTATAAATAGATATTATAGGACATATTTGTATTTTGGTTTTTAAAATCAGTTAAAACAAAAAATATTGTACATTAAAACGGAACCATGCTAGTGATTATATATTTTATTGATAAGATGGTCCTTACTATTTAAAGGAGACCAAAAAGTTATATTTTTTTATTGAAAAAAAAGTTGCGTCGAAACTTCTTAACATTCAATGGATTCACCGTGCGGGTGTCGGGTCCATTGTTGCAGGGAGTTGAACTTCAACAGTGTCTGGGACTTGTGACGCAGGTGTAGGTTTAAGAGGCGTCTAGTTAAAGAAAATTAAACGCTCTCTTCCTAAAACGGTTCCTATCGAAGTACGTTCCAATAAATGCTGGACAGGTCAAGTCTTCTCCAGGTTGTGAGAGATTTAGCCCTTGCTCAGCAGTTGGCTACCTCTAGAAATCTACGTCGAATATATATATATACGTATGTATGTATAATACCTATATAAGTCTCTCCATCAGCGGCGGAGGCCTCCTCTCCGCTGGCCGCTATCTGTGCGAGACTCTCTCTCTCCTCCAGTTCCTCGGAAGCCTTGGGTATGTTGGACACTACTTCATAGGTCACGCCCGTCTGGGACAACTGGTCCGATCTAGTAACAACAAACTCGTCAAATCAATATATATTCACTTTAACGGTGTTTTTTCATAATTAGAGTACTCTAAAAAATTACGGCTAAAGAACATATATTCTACAATAACTAGCCTCGCCCGCGTGGAGTTCGGTTATATCGCGTTTCCAAGAGAACCTTTCAAAAGTTTACGATAAAAACTATCCTATGTTCTGTCTCAAGGCCAACTCTATCTCTCTACCAAATTTCAATAAAATCGGTTCAGTGGTTTAGACGTAAGGCGTAACAGACAGACAGACAGTTACTTTTGCATTTATAATATTAGTAGGGATATTTACGAAGCATTCATTTTAATTTTATCGTAATATAAAACTGTCCTCGCTACCTGACAATCTTCTTTCTTATCCGGTCCGTCAGACTCTGTCTTTTGTATATATTAAGGGCGAGTCGTTTGCGCAGTATAAGGTCCATCGGCGCTGGATGCGAGAGACGGACCGTAGTTTTCAATATCAGATACACCCGCTCGTTCGCTGTAAACATTACCACATTATTAATTCATAACACGAAGATAAGCTATGAAATTTTCTCCTAGAATAACAAACAAATTATTAAATAGATATAAAGAAATTAAATACATTGTTGTCTATATCTCCATTATTTTATTAATGCCATAATTGACACATACTTCATTAGAATTTCACTGGCTTACCGTCCAGTAACTAAATTAAAAAAGAGGTGATACACCACACAAATGAAAGTTATCCTACTAATATTATGATTGCGAAAGTTTGTGTGTGTGTTTTTGTTTGTTACTTCTTCACGCTCAAACGGCTGAACCGATTTTGATAAAATTTTGTATACAGGAAGCTGACGTCCAGGAATAACACACAGGCTACTTTACATCCCGGAAATCCTAAAAATTTCGGAAATCCGCGGGGCGCAGCTAGTAAATATATAAAAACTAATCCCGGTTTATAGGTGCGTGTGACCTATACGTACAATACCTTCTGTTATTCTATTGAGGTACTGCGAGTCGTGTATTGAGGAGTCCCATGAGGCGACAGCGGCCACGTCCTTGTGGTGATGCAGCAGCTGTAGCTCGTGGAACTTGTTCCCGTGCTCCTTGGGTAGGATCGAGTTTAACCCGGCCACAGTCACCTCCTCGCCCGACGGATGAGTGCTCAGGTCGTCCGCTGAATAAAAACATATATTTACATATACTTATTATGTAAGAATTATGGTAGCATGCATCTACTTTATTGAATTCTTATACAAACTAAATTCAAATCTTTTTGATAGGCTCTTTATTACTATCTGAATTTTCTGTTAGTGTGAACCCAAAAATACTTACAAAATTATCATTTATATTCCTAAGATTGCTTTTAATAGTATAACATACCGTTGAGATCTAAGAATAATACTGGTATGTGTTGCTCCATCCCGGGAGGCGGATTCCACGCGGCCGGAGCACCTGGGATAGGACTTCCGGGACTAGGGACTAGGACCTAAAAAAAATATATGACCAAAACTGTTATATTAATAGATTATATATTAAAATAATGTACAGATCAGCCTATTGTCTTCCACTGCTGTAAGTTATGCACTAGAGTAATAAAATATTTAAACTCAAATTCTTATAAGAAGTAAAGATGACAAATTTATCAATAGAACTAGCAACCCCAATTACTGTATCTCCATTTACTATTTAAGTCTTAATCCATATACGCTAAACATCTCTTAAATGTGTATAATTTGTTTATATGAATTTATTCTAATTATAATAATAATTGGTATATGTATGTTGATGACTGACAGCATTTCGTTCCTCAGTGAGTGAGACCCATTGTTCGACCAGCGACTGTTCCCGTTCCATGTCACGTTCACTCTTCATAGAAGGCGACATGTTCACCAGTTTCTGTTGAAAACAAGTAAATAAAATTTAAATTTCAATGAAAGAAATACACTCAAAGATTAAAATTATGCTACATTCTTTTAGTCGTTTTTTGTTTTTGCGGAAAATAGATTAATGAGATGTAAAAATTTTGATGTCTTTGTCTGATTTCTGATAGTTATTATAATAATGCATAGTCAAAAACACTTGCAAAATTGTATGAATAATATAATCAATCTACAGTTAAAATAAATATCACGCAATCATACAATTTTATATTAGAATGTAATATTACTCAGTAGTAGAAAATTGAGACATATTTATAGGTACCTGTAGCTGTGCGTGTAGATGTTGTCTACGTCGTGTGAGTGCATCACTCCATCGTTCTCGTAATACGGCCAGATCTTCTTCTTGGTATGAGTCTAGTGGCTTCTGTAAACGTGATCTGAAAGAGTTTTACTAAAATTAGTTCTGAAGTCAAAGAGATTATTAAGAAGTGCCATATAAATACTCTTTCAATTTTCTTATTATGAAATAAAAATTAAAAAAGCAATTCAAAACTCACAAGTTGGATAATTTTTAAAATACTTATATTAAAATGCCCATACCTCTGTACAATAATTGGATATTGTGTATGTTCGTAAAACTCTCTCTTTTTTTAATTATTATTATTATTAAAAATTAAAAATGAAATAGTATTCAACGTTATTTACGAATAGTAATATACAGGGTGACTGGTGAATTACTATCAATATTTAAGGAGAATACTCGGTACATGATTCTCATTCGAATTATGTAAAAAAAATAGGTACTTAATTTTTGACCAAATTTCCGTATAAATAAATAAAGGGTGGACACGTTCCAAGTGTTCCAAGTGTGGACGCGTGCGGCGACGTGCTGATACAACACCACGCCGCAGCACGCGTGCGTGTGTGTGTGTATACCTAATCTGTAGGGTGTTCATACGATGCGTAATTAATTACATAACTTTTGGTTAACTTTACTTAGAAGTTTATTCATATTTATGTTATATTAATTTTTATTTTGTCATATATGATCGTCAAATATCACGTCCTCAAGTATCGATAGTAATTCACCAGTCACCCTGTATAGTAAATTAGTAACAGACATCTAAAGAGATGTTATGGAGCAACACCGGTTCCTTATCATGATATAATTGTAATAATTGTAACAAAGAATGTGTTTATATGAATGTAAGATCTAAGCTATATACCTGACAGTGACCGAGCCCAGTTCCACACTGACTATGTGTTGACAGATGATGGGCAGCGTGCCGGAGTTAGCGGCGGGCTTGACGCGCACCGCCACGCGACGCTGCTGGCCTTGACGCAGCTGGTACACGCCGCCTGTTACTATGTCACTACGAGGAACAACCTGGAATAAATATACATATTTATTAAATAACAAAGTATATGTATAAACATGATCGTATGTTAAAAATACTTGAACTTAGTAGTGAGAGCTTAATGAATAATGACATTTTAAAGTCATTTGTATTTAAAAAAATAAGTATAACATTAAAGGCATTTTGTAATAAACATTATCATTCCATAGTTCATCCACATTTGATATCATCTCTCATCATATTATGTATTTCTCTATCATGAATATATAATACAATTAATGTTTAGTTGGTTGGTGTACCTCAACGGGTGCGTAGTCTCCATTATCATTGAGCTCATGTATCTCGACCCACAGCTGTATTTTCCTAGTAAGCTCGGCCCACCGGTCCGCCAGTGAGCGAGCCTTGGCCAGTTGTTGTTGCTCCACCTCCCAGTTCCCAGCGCCGCCGAAACCAGCCGACCGGTGACCCCACACCTCGATAGACAAAGCGCCCTCTGTAATAACGAAGCAAGGTTATTTTGAGATCATTAGAATTAATGAAAATGATGTTTGTACATATATAATAAAACACTAAGTCTGTCACCAAGTGCATTTTTACCATTGTTAGGTAATTATTTTCTAAAATAAAAACAAATTTTCAGCATCTTTTACTCCTGTATTCTAAAAAATATTGTGTCAACTATTTACACATCCCTACTAATATTATAAATGCGAAAGTAACTCTGTCTGTCTGTCTTTTACGCTATCACGCCTAAACCACTGAACTGATTTTAATAAAATTTGGAACAGACAAAGAATTGACCTTGAAAAGGAACATAGGATAGTTTTTAACCCAGGCTTTTGAAAAGTTCTCTTGGAAATGCGATATAACCGAACTCCACGCGGGCGAAGCTGCGGGCGGAAAGCTAGTTAGAAATATTTTGTATTTATAAACCCACACTGACCTGCGCAGTGCTCTATAAACTCCTCGGTGAGAGGTATCGTGAAGTCTCTCTTGTGATCGAAGCGGAATGTGAGCAGCTGGTGCCTGGGAGAGGTGTTCTGTGTGGAGGGGGACGGGGCGGCTGCGGGGGAGGGCGGAGAGGGGGGAGGGCAGTCCGCGCTCACGTGAAGAGGGACCACAACCGGCTCCCCGCCGCCCCACACAGAGTACTGACAGAACACGTAGTTGGATAACGACGGAGGCAGACCACTCGCCTGCTTTATTACCACGCGGATCGTCACCTATAACAATGTCACGTATAATTACTATCTTATAAACTCTGATTAGTAGATAAACACGCGAAATATCATCTGTTCACAATTCCTTCCAATAAAATCTCATATAATAAAACTATTTTGGGCCCCACGATACAGGTCTCCTAGTGTGGGGTCCAAAGATAATCAAAATTTTAAAATTTGCTAAAACCATAATGCACCTCAACCATTGTAATAGTTTAAGAAGATTAATTGTATCATTATATGTTAATCTATTATTATGTAAGCATTGTGTCTTTTCAATAAAGTTTATTTATTTTTATTTATTATAGAGATTCGAACCATTTGTTTAAAGTAATAATTTCTAATATTGTCTACTAGTCTACCTGTTGCGCGGCAGGGTCTAGCGGTTCATCGTCGTCCCTCATGTCTCCGGAGCTGTCTGAAGCTGCTTCACATATTCTGTCTTGTGGGAACTGACCGGACACTCGACTTATTTCAACCTAAAATATTAACAAACTAAGTATTATATGTATATATATAAAAAAAGCAAAAACTTTCTATATTATACTACATATATTCTACTTGTTCTAAATGAGAAATAGGTGTGGTAGAAAAATACCAAAAATAAAAGCGTTTCAAAATTTGTATAAAGTGTATTTACATATTATAATTAAATTCAAGTATTAAAGGTCTAACAGAACAGAAAAGTATTTGAACGATTGAAGATAAGATGTTGTTATATAACAATCTGGAAGTTCGTTATACGAATTCAATAGGGGGATAGAATCCAAATAAATGCTATGTAATTATTTATTTTTTTACTTTAATGGTGGAAAACGATCAGACGTCCTACCTGATGAAGGTAGTTACCATCGACCAGTGAAATTCGAAACATAATTTTACCGATGTATTACCCTTGATTGGTGAAGAAAGGGTGGGAAAAGGAAAAGGGCAACCGTCTCTCTCACTCATCGGAGGAAACGCAGCACTAACGACTATTCACGGTTCTTCCTCGGTCGAGATAAATTGTGATTACTTAACTAGGCTAGGCTTTAAACTGTAGACCCTGGCTACAGCTGGGAAAATTGCCAGGAAGAAGAAAAAGGCCAGGCTTTCAACTCTCCCACCTTAAAATACATATAATAATAATGTATCGAATATATAATATACTGACCTGTAGTCTCCCCGCGACCTCTCCTTGTTGACTGATGATGGGCGTGTGATAGTCGAGCGTGACGTCATGGAACAACGCCTCAAGGAATATATTAGCAACGCCGATTAAATTGTGATTCTCCTGAGACTCATAGAATGGATCCAGACTTTTATCCTTTTGATCCTGTAATGAAATGATTCACGGTAAGTACAAATTTTGTTCACGCATGTATAAGGTTTTTAGTATGGTTTGATGTGGGAAAGTGAACGAATATTTAAGAAACTGTAATGTGGAAGAAAAAGCGCAAATGTTTAAATGACGTTTTTGATAACTACAAGCAAATGATTTTTTTTTTCCTACAGGGCTGTTTTTTAAACGATTTTTTTATATATGTACATTCAGCTACTAATCGCGAGTAGTGACGAAATAAAATAATATTGTTCTAAATGAATTTCAAGCTATGTACAGCAAATAAATGTTCAAAACATTTAATATTTGTATTATCTAAACGAACCGTCGGTGTCTCGGGATCGATAGGGACGGCCTCCTGGAAACAAATGGGTCAGTATTTTTGGTGCGAAGTTAGTAGTTCGCTAACCTCACAATGAATTTAGTAAGTGTTGGTTAGTAAATATTATAACATTTACCTCATTTCTTATACTTGGTACAATATAATATGGGATAATTTTATAGTTACAAATTTTATAATATTATTATACAGATTAATATTTATTAATGAACATGACCTTTCCATTATCCAACAGTTAGTGGGACTAACTAAGATCATTCATCATTCTCTCTCCCTCTCTCTCGTTGTATGTATATATCTATCTCTGTCTCTCACCAGATCATCGTGGTCCCTCCTCCGCCGCCAGTCGTCGTACATGTCCCTCATGTCCACAAGTTTGTTCTCCAACTTCTCCATAGACCACACCTGCGCACCTCGAGTCGGTCGTTTTACCATGATCGCCGGCTCCGAGACAAATGCCCCACGCTGCAAATATTAACAGACTAGTGTTCAGCTAACTTTCATATAAAACATACGTAATGATGACGATATCTCGAAATTGATACATTTTTGGTCAGATTTAATAAAGGAAATCTTGGTTTACCATTAAAACATATCGTAATATTAATTATAACATACTAGCTTTCCGCCCGCAGCTTCGCCCGCGTGGAGTTCGGTTATATATCGTTTCCAAGAAAACCTTTCAAAAGTCTGGGATAAAAACTATCCTATGTTCTTTCTCAAGGTCAACTCTATCTCTGTACCAAGTTTCATTAAAATCAGTTCAGTGGTTTAGGCGCATGACAGACAGACAGACAGACAGACAGAGTTACTTTCGCATTTATAATATTAGTAGGGATAATACCTTTCTGTTGGGACTCAAGTTCTGCGGCGGTATCTGTAGTGTGACACTGAACCTCGTGTTTCTTCTCATTTCTTCAGCTAGGAAGTTCGCTTCCTGTACTAATGCGTTCGCTCTCAGTATGTCCGCCTTCAACCTCCCGAGGGATCGTTTGAATGTGTCGTCTCTTTCCGCCGCCCAGCGCTCCACACGAGCCGCTGTCGTCGGGGTGCATGCTGTCATTTTACCTATAAAAGGTTATATATTCAATAATATTTCCTATAGTCGGAATATACAGGGTGACTGGTGAATTACTATCGATACTCGAGGACGTGATATTTGACGATCATATATGACAAAATAAAAATTAATATAACATAAATATTAATAAACTTCTAAGTAAAGTTAACCAAAAGTTATGTAATTAATTACGCATCGTGTGAACACCCTACAGATTAGGTATACACACACACACACACGCGTGCGGCGGCGTGGTGTTGTATCAGCACGCCGCCGCGCGCGTCCACACTTGGAACACTTGGAAGGTGTCCACACTTTATTTATTTATACGGAAATTTAGTAAAAAATTAAGTACCTATTTTTTTTACATAATTCGAATGAGAATCATGTACCGAGTATTCTCCTTAAATATTGATAGTAATTCACCAGTCACCCTGTATATAGTTCTTTTTATATGCGAATGATGATTCAGATCCAGCGTTAATTAAATGATGCATGTGTTAATAGTAAACGATCTATTCCGGGATCTTTACCGAAAATAAACTAATTTCGTAAAAACAAAACAGAATGTATGCAATAAAGATTAATATATCTTTTATTCAATAGCTACGATCTCTTTATTGTATATTAAAAATCTATTTTTATGCTTATTATATGTCAGTACTATATATTTAATAACAATTTCTTTACCCAATCTAAGCGGATCATAAGAGTACGGAGGATATGGCGTTGATGGAGACAAAATATTTCTGAGTTGCTGGAACTGACGTTCGTACTCCTGTCTCTGTTTTTCCAAGGCAACTGAAAATAAAATATTATTTGTTAATATGTTAACGTGAACCTTTTGAAACAATCAAAAGCATACATATACACATTCATACATACACTTTTGAAAATAATCACATTTGTTCAGACGCTGATATAGACTACTATATATAAAAAATTTTGGGCAGTTCTGAGAATATTATATACATAGGGGTCGAATTAACGACCTTTTTTTGAAGTCGTTTTAAAGCTATATTCAAGATCAGTTACTATTTAAATAAAATCTACTCTTAGATTCGTTACATAAAATAATTCTATCAATGATAACCTTGTTTGTCTTCCTCGTGTTGTCTCTCCAGTCTAGAGATGGCTGTCTGTATGGGATCGTTGCTGAGCTCATTCAACATGATCTCATCTCTGGCGAAGTTGTAGTCAATTGGTTGAGCCGGAGTCTGCGGCTCAGATGTAGCACCTATATAACAAACATTTAAAACATTACAAACTCACTTACTACTCTCATGACTTCCTATAAACTGAAGATACTTCTAAAGCCAAAAGTGTAGAAAATTATACAAATGATATGTATTTAATCACTCACGTTAACAATAGTTGATACTTGTAGCTTAACGTCAAAAAAAAACACACACTATAATAACAAACTACATACAAATTTTTTGACAAGACTTACATGTATTATCTTTAGGGCAGTTAACTCTGAAGAAGTGATGGTTCCCCCATAGTATTCTGTCAGCGTGTCCCAGCCTTTCTTGTTCGTGACGGGCGCTCCATTGAGGAAACACCTTGCTCCTCCCAGCGGCTCCATATAGAGATGTCCTTCAATTACCAGTAGTAGACAATGCTGCGGTTGTATGCCTAGACCGGACAACTGGATATCAGCCTCACTGTCAGCACCGACTAGAGTATGTTCCTGGAATTATTATATACAATCATTATTATTACATACTATAAAATTATACTATCATAAGCGTGGCAAAGAATTACAAACTGTTGGAGAGTATAAAATAATCATAGAGCTATGAATAATGAGATCTAAGATTTTCGCGAGTACTCATTTAAATGAAACTAATATTTTCAGATTTTACTTCGCGTTTTTATTTGTGATTACAAACTACATACTCCCGAAGTTTCGGCTACTTTTCAGCAACCGTGATCACGGGCAGACGAGTTATGAATGTTTACAATGTTAGAGGGTAAAAATAATGTGATACCGAAAATAATAAAAACATAAGGCAATATTTAAAAACTAGATCATTTTTAAAGCTATTGATTTTATTTTAATATTTATGATACATACCTTCAGATAATAAACGAGCAGTTCATTCAATGAGGGGTCGGCGTTCAGGTTCACTAAGTAGTATTTGTTCTTCTCAACCTTAATGCCGCTCGCTTGGACACTGATGCCCATCTTCTCCAACGCCTGTTGCCTTTCGCTTTGTATTCGACCTAAAGAAATGAAAATATATAAATATATGTACATGGAATTGTTTAAACTGGGAAAATGCATCAAATCAGACTAAAACAAGCTAAATTTTTCAGCAAAATAGGCAGTAATACAGGAAAAGTAAGGATTATAATATATAGAACTACTAGTAAGTTAATTATCATGTAATATATAGAGCTGACGAACTCTTTCGTCCTACATAAATAATCAGTTTCATATTAGTTAGTTGTCAAATCTAACAAAGAAAGTATTTGTATTCTGTTTTTAGGGTTTTCCCGAAAATGAATCAATTTTTCTCACCTTTTATACCTTCCCTGAACCTCCACGGACAAAGATTAAATCCGTTCATCAGCGAGACTGCAATCCATTTTTATATATATGAAGATTTCTCACCAGTTTCGACTGCTCGTACGGGACATTTCCTTCATCAGGTGCTCACTTTGTGCCAACTGCTCGTTCTCCGACAGGGGAACCCTATACATATAAAATATTGTAACAAATCGATAGTAAAAATTAAATGCCTCAATCTGTAAGGAACTATTGAAACAAATCTCAACTATGTAGGAAATACAATACAATTTGTATAAATTAAATCATTATTCAGTATTGGAACGTAATGTATTGATTTTCTTATATTCAATCTCCTGCATGTAAATATCCAATTTAGACTTCCATAACGAAGACCCAACATCGAATTTTAAAGAAGTTGCCCCTTATGTAACATACAGTATAAATACCTTTATCTTATTAGTATTTTCTTGATCCGTTTAATCCAATAAATGCATTTAGCGGATGATATTTACATTATAATAAGAAAATATAAAAAAACTAATGTATATAACGCATGTACATGATATTTTTATTACGTTAATTAACGATCAACGCTATTCGCACACCGTTAATTCTTCCAATTATTCAACAAAATATATATATATATATAAGCAGATTTCACAAAGAATTTAACAATATCGTTATCTTAATGTTTGCTTAAAATTTTAATAACTTTTTTTTAAGAAAATTGCAAAAGTATTTAAGGGCTTGTAAGTCCAAGAATATCTTCTTTATTTAAGAGTAAACTCGTTCATGTTTTGTATTTTCTAGAAGCGACTTAAACAGGGTTCCTTAAAGCACAATGTTACACAATCCACATCGTACTGCATCCACTGTTACATGAACGTAGAAAAAGGCGCTTAAATAATAAGGGCTTCTTGTTAGTTCAAGTAACGAGCAGCTTTTATAATAAAAATTCTTTCCTAATACTAAACAGTATGTAAAATCTGAGCTTAGCGCGTTTATTTAGAAATTTCACAAGGTTCACAACTTTAAGTAAGTTCATACTTGAGCCATAGTATTAAGAAAACTCAAGTAGGTATTTTACAGCCAGTGTGGAATAACCTTTATATTTTCCGAAGGTTTACGCAACGAGAATGAATTCATAACAAGATTTAGAAAGGTCAGATTTCTGATTACCTTCTATTTTTACATTATCACAGTAAACCATGGCTTATTTTTTTTGAACATCACCGTTGAACTTTCTTATACTGCATATAAATATTAAAATAATATTTTTTAACTTTTAAGCCTATTGTCCGACCAGTATTTAATATGGGCTATATGGTCGCTATACTTACGGTAGCGTGTTTGAGCATCTCCTTCAAGGCTTCCACTTCTTGTCGCAGTTCCCTGATGATTCTGGCGTTCGGGTCTTCGTTGACTACAGCGTGGTTCACTATACGCTTGGCTCGATCAGCGTACCGGAGTGTAGATAGGGTCTCTTCATAGTTATCAGCAGCTGGAGATATTGTAGCCACCTGGATATACATTAAGTTGTTTAATTCTCAGTATGTGGCATTATTTTTGGCATTTTGCGAAGATTTCCATGGCATTAACCTCTAATGACTGATACATAAGTTTCACAGTAATGTCAGCAATTAAAAAAAAAACATGTTAACGGTATTTAAGTTCTGGAGCTGGTAAGATAGTGACATATTGTTAAAACAATAATTCAAATTAGGAAATATCAAATTCTAGTCATTTATTTTAAATTGCTCTCGTGCGTCTCACAAACAAACACACAATATAAAGTATTTAAAAATAGTTCTTAAGACATATTTTTAGATTATATCCAACTGGTATTAATATGGTATAAATAACTATGGTACTAAATTCTATATATTTGTCTTATATTTACCATAACCGTCTTGCTGTTTCCTCCGAGGTTGTCCTTCAAGAGCCATGTCAGTACTGAATCTCTGTAGGGCACGAATTTGTCCTTGTTGTTCTTACCAGAAGACTGATCCGCCAGTTTTGATATTACCAGACCTAACGTAGTTAGGGATCTGTAAAAAAAAATACATTACATTAACTTTAAATCTTAAGAGCACAAAGTCCTTTACTAAGATCAGTTTTTAAACAACTAAAAATAAATCTCCTCTTCAGCATAATACGCTTAAAGGTCTTTAAATTTCCTAACGAGCTATTAAGTTTTTTTTTATGTGAAAGGTTGCGAACGAGCAGACGGCCTGCTTGATGGGCAGCAGTCACCGTCACCCATGGACATCCGCCACATAGCTTTTGCGGGTGCGTTGCCAAACTTAATTTTCGAGGAATAGGGAAAGGTAGAAATAAGCAAATGGTAGGAATGGGTGGAAAATAGCGAATGGCATAGTGAGGGTTTTTAATTGGGACTACTCACTTATTAATATTGGATCCCTCTTTAAGTCTATCTCCTACCGCTCCTGTCTTCACGGCCCTTTCAGAGCCCGCCAGGTCCACTAGTGATAATCTGGCAACCTTCTCCCCAGTAACCCCGGTCGCGGCGTCACACAAGGTCTGCGTCAACACCACACTGAACACAGCGTGCGAGCGAGATGACTCACTGTTCATGTTAGTAGCTGCCACCGTCCTTGACTTGTTACCCTCAGCCATCAAGTTGTCGATGTCCTGTTAATTAATGTCTTATATATAGAACTTTGTCGAAGTAAGAAACAACTAGACGTTATCAAAGTCTAATATAGTAACAAGACTGAAACGAACACAGCCGTATCAGCTAGTGTAGTGTTTTTTATTGACAAATGTATTCAGTGTTAAATGTTGCATATTAAGAACACATGACCAAGTGTCTTCTCCTTAACAAAGACTAAGTATGTGTTATTGGACACATTCTTCCAAACTTGAGAATAAGGTCAAATTTATTTACTTATTACTCAATAGTCTAGATTGTAAATTTAATAAAGTATTGTATACTTTATTAGGAAAAAAAAAAACTTTAAGCACCAAACATAAAAATCCAAACTGAAGATTCACATCGAAAATAAAAACTGTGAAAGACGATGTAGTTTCATATTAAAAACAAATGAAAGATATATTTTTTGACAAAATACATTCGTCGTTATTTATTTAACAGTTAATATTATAAAAATTCATTTGTAAAAATATACAGGATGGAGACAAATGATAATGTGACATAACGATAAATATTTATGCGTCAAATATGATAGATGGATATTAAAACGATTGTTATGCTGAATCCCAAAGGATGCTTTGTCTGCTAGCGATGCAACGCGTGCTATAGCTTGACATTATTAAAAAATAGTTTAAAAATAGCTTTGAGTTACTAAACAATAAAAACAAACATGTTTGATGTGTCATAGACAGAATCAAATCAAAATAAGTGTAGTACTAGCAATAACTCATAAGATGTTTGATTTTATTCATAACAAAAAAACTTCACAGTTTCACCACGATGCTTCCTTTTAAAATAAAATCAAGAATGATGACTATTACGATATAATTTCTTAGAATCATATTAAACATCCGCGTTTTAAGATATTTTTCTAAGATATTTATACACAATACATTTCATTTTGACAAATCAATTGACACTGATATATTTGCCATTTATTTTGCTATACTTCTCCAATGTATTATAGGTACTTTGTTCTTTTAGCAATTACTTATATACGTACATCCTAACATTTTTTTTTAATATATATTTATTTTCCCATCATTCCCACGAGGAAAGAATCGTGCTATCAAAACAAGAAAATATTCGCGGGTAAATTTTATTTGTTCGTCTCCCCAGCTTCGTATCAAGTTGAGACATAAATCAGTATCTTATCCTGCTTCTGAGTATATAAATTTACTTTTTCTCAGCGACTTTATTATTTATAGTCTAGTGCTTCGTCCTTCCCGGTATGAGATTCGATTACAATCCTCCGTTTCATACACGCAACTGTGTATTTTTTTGTATAAAATAAATTCAAACTATACCTATTTTAAATTATGTGTATTAGCTATAGGAATAAAATATACTAGGTCTGCAGCCGGTCGCAGCATCACGACAAAACTACTGAATAGATTTCAATAACGTTACCTCAATTTTTATTTAAAGACTTGGCCCTTATAAAAAAAAAAAGTTTTAAGATACAATGATTTTCATAAGCACTACGTTGTTCAGCGATAATTGTTTCTTGTAAATAAATTTTATTAAGAAGTTTTAATTCAATTTTTTTTATATATAATGGTTTAATGCTTAAATCCTTAGTATACAACACCAAGACGTATAAACGGAGTGAAAATGGGTCAGGGCTCTCACAGACTTCGCTTGATAGATAACTACAAGCAATAGAAAAAAGATTTAAGTGTTCTTATGGAAACTTTGTATAGTCCCATTAAAATCAGTAAATTTTATATGTTTCATATATTTTATTCAATATAGGTTTTTCACTTTTCGTTATAATGAAAAAGTAAATTAGACACTTTAATATACAAATATGTATTACATAATTTTTATTCTATTTATATAAGTCGTACGTCATTTAGATTTCTTCATAAATTTAAATACCTACTATTTATGGTCAAGTTCCATACCTTCATATATAAAATACTAGCTTTCCGCCCGCAGCTTCGCCGCGTGGAGTTCGGTTATATCGCGTTTCCAAGAGAACCTTTCAAAAGTCTGGGATAAAAACTATCCTATGTTCTTTCTCAAGGTCAACTCTATCTCTGTACCGAATTTCATTAAAATCAGTTCAGTGGTTTAGGCGTGAAAGCGTAGCAGACAGACAGACAGACAGACAGACAGACAGACAGACAGAGTTACTTTCGCATTTATAATATTAGTAGGGATATTATAAAATATATGCTTATATGTATTAATTTATTTGAATGTATAAGATGATGAAGTATAAATGTAAGAGTTCAATACTTGTTAATATAAAGTCTAGATTGAAAATCTATGTAAGGTTTTGTATCGAAATATTCATAATTACTACTTCAGTACGTGAAACGCCGTGGAACTAGTAATTACATAGTTGTTAGTTTCGGCTCTAATAATAAAACTATAAAATACCTAAATGTTTAAACGACTTATTAGTTTAGAAGGAATTAAATGTAAGTAATTCTGACAGCTACATAGTATTTCAAAACTGTTATTTATGTGAATGGTGATACAGAAAAGTCGAATCGTTGTTAAAAAAAAAAACAGGTATATATAGCTAGAACGAACGAATACTACATTCAATGAACACTAAAACAAATAACGACATTCACTGTCTCAGAAGAAAACTCACGACAAACAGAAAAATACGAGGAAAAAGAAGAATTTAATTGTCCAATAAAAACTTAGATTTTAAAATCTCGAGCTTGGTCCTCCATTTAAAATACAAAGCAGTTAAAATTTCCGAGTAAAATTAGGAACTAATTATATCATTTGAGTAGATAAAGAACAATTACCTAAAGTTAGATAATTTAACGTCACGTTACAAGTAACTGTACTTAGGTTATTAAAGTAAAAGTTTTTAATTAAATTACACAGAGACAAGCGCATCTTTGAACTTAGTTTTAATTACTGCCGAATAATCATTATCTAACATGTACGTATTTGAGTTAATTATATATATATATTTATATACACTTATATGTATTAGAAAGAATCAAATATATTATATTAACAAAGAATAATGTACTGTTAAATTTTAAATTACACTGAATTCGTTGTCAGAGTACTTCAGTCTTGTACAGAATATGAATACATACATATATTTAAACAACTTTGTGAATGTTTCACAAAACCCCAACGCCTGAGTGCTTTACATTTGAATTTGAGTTAGGTGTATCCTTGAAACATATATGTATAAAATCAGGTGAACTCACGTAAATGGCAACAAAACAATCAATCGATCGTTAAAGGGTTAGGCGTCAGTAATCCATCACGTGAGGTTCAGCCTAATAGCTGTTACGTAATAAGGAAAAACAGGCTTTCTTACTAAGGTTACAAATAACCACAATATAATTATTTTCATTAATTATATCGAAAATATAAGTTATTATTATTAATACACAAGAATAATTGTGAATGAACAAAAATATGAAATCTATTTGTTGAGATATAAGAGGTATAAAGAAATTTCATACAGAAAAAACAACAACAATATTACAAATATAAATCCAAAAAGATATTGTTATATTAATATAAAATATAATTTTACATGAAACATCTAAACTTCTGTATGTAAATTTTGTTTGAACATGCATTCCTTATTAATTGGACAAGCAATTATATTTAAGACGTGTCGTCGCGAGCACTCGTCTTGTTCAAACAAAATAACAAAGAAAATCTCTTTTAAAAATTCTCTTTTCTAACCTTAGTGTTACAGCTGTTAACTTTATTTCAAGATTCGACTAACAACATTTTAGCTTAATAGTAGTTTCAGATTCTAAAATACTAAACTTTTATAGCATACCAATATAAAGTTTTAAACTCTAATGTTATTTAGCAGATTTGAGGTTGTTTAAAATAGAAGTGAAACTTGAAAATGAAACGTATTTGTTAATACAAAGATATTAGTTACAACAAGCAAAATAGCCTAGGGGCTAGGGCTATTTATGTGCTAATAACACTTCATGTATATTATACAATTTCATTGAAGTATAAGAAAAATATTAATAAATAAAATTCACATAATATTCAATAAAATTCACAGTATCTGAATCTTTCTGTTGCGAATTATTAAATTTTGTATGGCATTTTCTTAAAACGTGGTACAATTTATATTTAGTAATAAATAACGAAAAAAATTTATGCACATTGCACAAATTTCACTTATGTAAGACCATTTAAAACCTCAAATCTGATGCAATTTATGAAGACCCGCATTCGCAGTATTAAAGAATTTTCAAAGGTCTAGCAATGAGGTGGATTTTAAGTCCGTCCGAGTAGAATAAAGCGTTTTGTTAACGAAGCTGTCTGGCTGGAGGGTGTTTAAGGTGAATCGAGAGAAATAATGGATACCGTTAAGCCCTCGGGCCTCGCCCCGGTGACGACTAAACGTAGATACTATATAGAGGATCGATCCCCGAGCAACAATTTCATTTAAGTGCCAATTTTTGTTCCTTCCGAACGATTATTTATCATTAAACGTCAAACTGGTGCTTTTAACAGAATCAAAAGCTTTCCAAATTGATTATCCATCTTGGATTTAAATATAAAATACCTCATCTTTCCAACCCTTTTAAGAATTATTTAAACGAATCCCATCTGCATATAGATCGTCTCGAGAGGTGTTTGAAAGTCGTCCGTATAAAATTTCTTGTGAACATAATATTTCTGAGACACGTACTAATTGAATTCCCGGATCATTACATCTCAATCGCCATGTTTCGAGTTTGTTTGAAAGTCGACAAAGGATCTTTATCGAATCTAGAGTTCATGACCTTTTCTTCTAACGAGATGTAAGATTATCACGAACCAAGTTACGGCTGCTATCGATTTCTTTTAAAGCGCAGCTAGGAAACTTTCAAATACAATCACTAAATATTTTAAAGTTATATAACAAAAGAAATTAGAATTATATAAATATCAAAAAACAAATGTTAGAGATTATGTAATGACATCATTTAAGAGAAATTTTTTTAACTTCCTAGTAACAATTTTCTCTTGATTTTAATTACTTCAGAGTTACCATTTTCACAAGACAAGATGAAATTGTGGATTGTTCTTTATGTAAATAGACTAAATTTCCTCGTATAGTGCGTTTGATTTAAGCTGAAGTTTGCTTTTTTGTGAGTGCACACGAATACTGTAGGTGTGATGTCAAATTTTTGAATGCCACGTTCTTTTCTAGTTTGAACCGGTTTATGCTGCTTTTGCCCCACAACTTCCGCACTTCATCCTTTGTACCAGTAGCAGCGTCAAATGTTGAAAACGCAATGTCAAGTGAAAAAGAATTAGTATAGTTTTTCAAAATGTTTATGAATTAATTTTTTTTTTCGTAATATTCATAATATTTTCATCTTGCTTGTTACAAGTTTTGCTTATTTTATTTTAAATCTAGAATAGCTCTAGCACTTATGTATCTTTTTACAATACAATAAAATTTAATTCTAAAACTTCTTTGTCTAACTCTACTTTTACTTTCACTCACACAAATGCAAAGCTCAGCTTAAGTCTAACGGGCTGTATCAGGAAATTAAATCCAATATTATAATTTAATTTCATATTTACTCTTGAAAATATTAAAAATCATACAATGTTATTCAAATACGTTTAGAGCAGACCCTATGTATATACTTTTACGATATGGGCGTTATAGAAATTATAAATAATTATATGAGTATACAAAACTATGTACTGGTATAAAACTATGTAGTATTAAGTTAAAATAAATCCTAAAAGCCTAATCATCATAATTATATAAAGCAATATGTTTTTATATGTATAAAAATAGAATGCTGACTTAACATATTGACCAATTTCATTATAGAGCATTTCATTATTGATAACATTGTATCATCAATGACGCAATCATTATATTGAGTAAAAAACGTGTATTCAACGTGACGTACACTCAAGGTCATACGGAACGTAAAATGAAAACGTTAATAGGCACATCAGTAACGGCATGTTTGTTTAAATAGAAATATGCCTTATAAAATCAGTGAGTTTATTATTATCACAATATTTGACTCAGTCAGGTTCCATAGTTTATTCATAGTTTTACTATGAAATATATACGAGTACATTATACTTAATCATCAGATAATCTCCTTGAGTACATTCTTCTAGAAAAGACGTAATTTTCGATTTTATTATAATACAGTATATATAAATATTAATGAACTTTAAAATAATTTATTGTTCAATAAAATTACTTTAATTTAATCTATCATATGTAGGAAGACCAATCAGACATGTTTTGATTTAGTGGAACGTCATATTAAATATTTCCAAATTCAACATAAAAATTTGTTATATAAAAAATATTTAATCATTAAAAAAAAAACCGATGACTACTTTACTAAGACCCATGGCTTATATGAATCCAGTACGGGAATGGATATATATATATATATAGGCTGGACTATTTATATATATTATGCAATTCCTAATGTCATACCTGGAATGATGTGACTGCCAGCTGAGACAGTCCGTCCACATATGGTCCTAACACGGCGTGCTCCCGGACACGAAGAGACCGTCGGGTCGTTTCAGGGTCCAGGAGATCGTGAACACGTTCATTGTAGATCTCCATATAAGATACTTCCACCTGGAGAAAAATATAGGGAATAAGCTGGATAGAAAATTGAAAGGCCTCGTTTGTGAAAAGGGTAGCCTCAATCTACTACGACATGTTACGTAAAAACAAAAATGTATGAATAAATTTAAACACACAAATTACAGCCCTGATATAATTGAGGTTAAGTAAACCGTTCCACAGTTCACTGTAATAGCCAGTGTTTGAACTTACTGTGTGCCGAGTATTATTATGAAAATCCTGATATAATTTACGACAAATAGATACGACGAATTTAATTATTTTTATTAATCTTTAAGCACTTATCTCAAACACAAACATACATTGTAACAAACATTTGAACTACATATATTATAGCTGAGATTTTCGTGAGTCATTTAAATGAAACTCATATTTAGACATGTCACATCTCATCTGTCAGTGATCACGGTTGCTGTAAAGTAACCGAAACATCGGGAGTATGTAGTTTTTACGAAAAATAAAGTGGCGTAGTATATCCGCAAAATATTAGTTTCATTTATATTATAGCTCTATTATCGCATATGGCCATGGAATAACGCTGCTGCGTAGAAATGAAAAACATATGCTGTAAGTAGGTACGAGGGGAGGTCAATAAGTTCGCGGAATGAACGGGAAGGGGGTTGAAATTTAACACGAAACTATTTTTCCTTTTCAATATAGTCTCCCTCAACCTTAATACATTTTTCGGATCTCACAAATAATTTATTAATACCATCGAAAAAAATTATTTATCTTGGCTATCAAAATAGGCCGAAATTGCGGACTTGACTTCTCAAATTTTTTTCCACGCAGCTTTTTTTTCATTTTTGAAAACAAATAATAGTCGCTGGGGACTAAGTCTAGACTGTATGGTGGGTGGTGTAATTTTTCGAATCCGCATCGGTGAATGGCAGCCGTCACAACATGGCACGTGTGGACTGTTGCGTTGTCGTGCAAAAGGAGCACACCTTTTGACAGCTTTCCTCTTCTTTTTTCCTTCATAGCTTCTTTCAATCTATCTAATAAAGAAGCGTAGTACTGTCCCGTTATAGTCACAACACGATCTTTATAATTGATCAGCAAAATACCTTCTGTATCCCAAAGGACAGTCGCCATGATCTTTCCGGCCGATTGTGACACTTTAAACTACTTGGGAGGAGCTGTGCCTTTTTTATGCCAATGTATCGATTCTAACTTCGATTCAGGTTCATAGTGGTGAATCCAGGTTTCATCACCAGTAACAATCCGGTCCATAACTTCATCCTTATTCTCCCCACAGAGCTTCAAAAACTGGCGAGAACACTCGACACGCTCGCTCTTTTGAAGTGGCGTGAGCATTCGTGGAACCCATCTTGCACTGACCTTAGTCATCCCAAGATGATGATGTAGGATATTTAAAATGCTGGTTTCGGATACTCCAACCATTGCTGCAAGTTGTTTCTTCTTCAACCGGGCATCTTCCAATATAAGTTTTTCTACTTTTGAAACGATTTCCGGTGTGGTGGCCTCAATCGGTCGTCCGGAGCGGGGGTCATCTTCAATGGACTCTCTCCCTTGTTTAAAAAGTCCATGCCACTTGTAAACCAAGGTTTTACCAGGGGCAGAGACCGCGTAAACTGATAACAGCTCTTCAAAAATTATCTGAGCGGATTTTCCTTGCTTGGTGAGGAACTTAATAACGGCGCGGTGTTCAATTTTCTCCATACTCACTGACTTCTTCCCGATTCACTCGTTTGCAGGTTAATAACTCAAAAGTTTATGACCCGATTTGGTTCAAACTTGGTATATATACTATTAATGAGGTGTTGAACAAGTTACTTCCTGGACGAGTAAATCAACCCCCTCCATCCCCTCCATTCCGCGAACTTTTTGACCTCCCCTCGTATAATGCAGTAAGTATTTGGGTATGTACCTTGTATGTGAGTGCCGGTGGCGACTGTTGTACAGCAATTCTCTCGAACAAGGCGTTACAGAGACGAGGGATGATGCCACCCTCGTCCAACCCTGGAGCACCCATCATGGTATAGGACTTGCCCGAACCTGAACGAAATATATACATATAAAAAAACTTATTCCAATTAAAATAATTTTATTATAATAGCAATATTGCTGTTAAATGTAAAGAAATACAGAAAATAATAAAATGGTTTTTCATTTTTAATATAGTTAAATGATAATAATTGTATATTTTTATGACATCCGTTTTTCATCTGCAATATTCAAAATAATTTAACTAGATGGTAAAAATAAAATCGCAGACAAAGCGTTTCGTTCATAATATATAATTATTATTCAAGTATTTTATTTTTATTTTTAGCATTTTCATGTTATAAACAAGCTTTCCACAATCAATCAAATCGTTTGACTTCCAGTCACAGTAATCTAAACATAACACAAACAAGATCTACACACAAACATACGTCACGGTCAAACGTGCCCGCCGCCTGTTACAAATGTTTGATATGTGCAGATTCTCGAAACGGGACAAGTTATTCTAAATCACAAATTGATTTCGACGTACAGAATTCGTATAAAGGAAATCTGGGCTGATTTATCAAACAGAAATAGATGTTAACAAAAATGTTATCAGTTATTGCTCTAATACAAAAAAATCTTAATCCAGTAGACTACATTAGTTTAATTATTGTATGGATTATAAAATACAGAAGGCTAATTAAATTTTTTTATATATTTAATTCATCATAAATTTCTAGACAGAAAATAGGCACATTAAGAAAAGTGCTTAGTATGAAAAACGCAGTTTACAGACGCGCTACATACTCGCATTCAGCTCTTCAATTAACGTTCATGAAACGTAGGGTACTTTGTAAACACAAAAGATGAAAAAAAAAAAAAAAAAAAATGATTTACGTATTCATAAAATTACGTATTTTTTTTTCATAAAAGAATCGTCGTGCAAGAGAGATGGAAAATTAAAAGTTTTTAATGAACGCTACAAAAGTTACTTCGTTAAAAACACAATTCTCGTTTGACTTATGATTATTATTCACTGTTAATTTTATACTTCTTTTATGTGTCAAAAAGCACTGAAATGCGGAGAGATAATAATAAATATTAAAAGATATATGAAGAATGTTTAAGTGGCAGATGCTTGGATATTTTTATCAGATTTTCAATTTTAAAGATAAATCTAAATATTCGGCTCGAATATCATCCACGTGTCTACGTAACGATGAACAATAGCCAATTACAGTGAAAATAAAAAGAGAATTTCTCGTATTCAATGTTTTGGGTATATGTATAGGTTAATCAATATATGAAATATATTGACACAATTAAGTGAATATAAAGTTTGATTGAATCAAATATGATCTCTGACGGGCTGGGACTTGTTCTTATTTTATCATTGGAATTGTATATGTAATTAAATATGATAATCATAACAAGATATAAAATATTCTTAAACATTGACTAATAATATGAGACTGAACGTTTGATCCTCTTATATAGAAAGAATCAAAAATAATAAGAAAGAAGAATAACATAGAAATCGTCACGCACAATAAAAATCTATTTGGCGTGTCGTATGGATAAGTTGAAGTAGTTCATAAATCAAGTGTAAGCAGCGTTGACATGTAACAGGGACTGTGTCTGAACCATTACTCTTACAGTCAGAACGTCGACTTATCGCCAACTATACTGACCAAAGTGAAATACTCCTGATTTCTTTCATATAGCTTCCTTTAAATACAACTCACAGTCTTACTTATCAATAGCTACAATGTTATTATATACTAGAAGACCTGGCGAACTTCGTATCGCCCTATAATCAAGAAATATCTATTACGTTTTTTATTTATATTTTTGGAGTTTACCTGTAAGCCATAAAGCCCCGTGTTTTGAATGTGCGACAGAATGATTGACATATTAGTTAGTTGTCAAATCTAATGTCAAAAAAACGTTTGTATGGGAAATAGAAAAGGGCTGTTTTTATGGTTTTCCCAGTAATGAATAATTTTTTTTCAGTTTTTATACCTTCCCTGAACCTCCACGAACATTTCAAGTTTAAGATAAGATAAATCCGTTCAGCTGTTCTCGAGTTTTAGCGAGACTAAGGAACAGCAATCCATTTTTATATATATATAGAAGAAGAAGATATATTCGTTAAAATAAACATACTTTAAGACAAATTGATTGTATTGCTTCAAATGAAATGTTAACTTATAAAATGCAGACAGATTGAGATGATCTTTATAAAAAGACAGTACTTGAGATATAGCCAAATGGTTCTTAGAGCTCATAAAGGAAACACGTCTAAAACCTCGCGGTTAAGATATCCGTGGATGTTGGCAGACGGCCAGCTCGGAGGAGATTCATCTCAAAGGAAGCATTGTCGAAAGAAATTGTCATCAATGCCATGGCTGCATTAGAACACACTGACATTTATTATCTGAGATTAAAACTCTTGAATAAGAAACGTATTCGTCGCAAAATATGTTCTTTACTGAAATATTCACTGCAGTCTATTACAATATGTAAATAAATTAAACGGAAATTATAATCAGTCAATCGATACACGGCTAATTAATACCATGATTGAACGTGCATACATATATGAACCAATGAGCGTATATACAGGAATAACTATTTATTATATCATAAATGACTTACTTTTGAAATAAAAATAAATTTTAGTTAATAATCAGTTGAGGTTTTCACTTTAGACAATATATATGTGGGTGATTCATGTCTGTCTCTGAATATAAAAACTAATTTATTATAAAAAGAAATTACAATTTCCATGATATACACAAGAAAAATAAATTTTCGTGACATTTCAATCTCTTTGAAATATAATTGTTAACTGTTTAAATAAATATTAACAGTGATGACTTAAAACAACATTTACACGAATTGTCAGGATTTTACTCCAGTTACTAACGAATGCCAACTCAATAATTGGGACTGTGTCAGGTATAACGAACTATTTTTAAGAATTGAACAAAATTCATTAGATTACATTTAACAATTTTATCATACAGAGTTACTGTGTTGCGTATTTATTGAGAATAATTATTTCGTTAGTATGAGAAAAACTACTTTGCAGGAGCTTTTACACTTAAAAACAATGAAATAACTTTTAATAGAGGACGAAATATAAAAAACAAAATATTTGTAATATTTATTCATCAAACACTCTCCGTATAGTAAAGATAAGTAAAAGCTAATCGATATATTCAAAAGCTGAAAATTAAAAGAGTTGTATGTATTGCAGAAATTATAAGGAATAAAAATGATCATATATATTTAAAAAATAAAAATAAAGTCAATGTAACAGAAGAACTAGAAGATTTTTATAGTTATTTTTACTTTCACAAGAAAATCTTTGGAGTTACATAAACCAAGTTTATATAAAATCCGCAGCGTGCCTGTAGTATTATTTTACGTCAAACTTCAGCTTTTTACGTGCGACGTAAGCTGGCACCTGTATTCCAGGTCACCCGGACGACAAACCTGCATTGAAATACTTCATCTTTTAAAACATACTGCTTGCTCTTTTGAATAAACTAGTGATAATAATTATTTAACAAATTGCACTAGTTAAAAAAAAATCACACGTAAACTGTATGAAACAAACGCTTGTTAGGCAATTTTTATTTCATACTGTACTAACAGCGCTGTTTAATTATAACAAAGGAACAAAGACTGTAGTCCGGTCTAGAAATGTTTGAGTATAAAATATAAATTTTTGTACAGCATTTTAAAAATTCTTTTGATTCAGTAGTCGCTGATTGCAGCTGTCTGGTGATAATGTACAACATAAAATAAGAGAATCAAAAAAATTTTGTCGGTGAATTTCGCTAATCTTTGAGACAGAGCGATTTAAGTAACCGCTGCTTAAGTTTGCTTTACTTTATTACAGCTGAGTGTGCTTAAAATTTTATTCGTAGCATTCTCTCTACGACGTCTACGAAGAATTGCACGACTGAAACATTATTTCAGTGTTACATACAGCCTTAATTTATAATGATTCCTTTCCTTATGTAGTGAAACGAAGAAAGCAACTGTATACTATTTTACAATATAACGAAATACCATTAAAGTAGGAAAAAAGTTTTTTTTTTTTTTTGTTCTGTCCAAGACTGAGAATAATATTATGAGAAACTTTAAAGACAAAAAAAATATTTAAAAAGCATATGAGAGTTTAATATAACAGCATATAATGAAAAACCATACTTATGTTAATACATCATTATAAAGTTTTTAAATATTATTAAGACTTTAATTCGAATTTAACGATGTTAATCTATAAACTTGAAAGTTGAAACATATGAAAACGAAAAGTTATCCAGTAGAAGTTGCGCATACATGATTTTAAGAGACGAAACTTGTATAAGTAACATTTCAATTCAAGATTTATTTTAAAACAAAAATATAGCACAAGACGTGATTAACCTTTGTTTTGATAATAAATACAAACAATTCTTTACTTTGTTAAACAAAAAATTACTTTCAGTTCGATAACCCCAGAATTATCTCATTTACGATTGTATCAAATAAATATTTAATATACCGTATACATACTGTTTTCGTGCTAATGTTCGGAATTTCTTTGTTTTCTTTTTTTCTTTTATTAATAGATTTGTTTAAAAATATCTTTCTATTTGAGATCTGTAATATATATGAATATAATGTGAAATTATTTCTTGAATAGTATTTCTTTCACAATTATCAACAATGTTTTTAATATAGTCATTTCTGAACCTCCACAGGCTTTATATTATTCGTAAATTTGACGATAATATGTTGCTATACCAGCTAATAAAAATAAATACTGCTTGGAGTCCCTCCACGCGGAAGAAGTAAAACTTTGTAATGTCTAAATGAAAATAAATTATATGTGTATCAAATTAAACAAAAACATGTAATAAATAAGTTAATATAAACAGCAAGTACGTATTTCAACTAATTTCACGACCCTCGTACTGTTTACTTTGCTGCATAGAAAAAATTACATGAGCTGAAAATCTAAGAATTCACTCTCTTTCTCTCTCCTACTTTCTACATTTGTGTATCTTTCTTTCTCTCCCCCTCAGCGTAAAACGTTTAACGCAACCTGCGTAAAACGTTTAACGCAACTTTGTTGGGAGTTGCATAAGAAGTTTCACTTCAAAGTTTTATAGAAGATTTGATATTAGATTCGAATAAAACCAATAGAAAAATGTAGATATAAACATATCCTTTTAGTTTTAATAATGAACAGTTATAAGCAACAAATCATTAAAAAAAAAACCTTAGAACTCTTACTAAATTATGGAAATACTTTGTTTTGTGTTTTTTTAAAATGCCAACTGTATGAAAACAAAAAAGAAATTACGACTGCTATAGAGATTTATCGCACAATTTTTAGGTAAACAAGATCCCTCCCAGCGGAATCATTGAGGCCGCGCCGTTATTCGTCAGCATCAAAGTGCCAGTTTCACAAAGGGTAGGTAGGTATATTTTATAGCTTAATTTAGATAAGATAAATCCTTTAATAGAACAACAATTGAACAATCAAATTAGTAGGTAACGTCAGAAGATTATTCCTCAATCAAATAATAATCGAATGTTTCCTGAACAATGACTTATCGGGACGTTACATCTAAAATTATAGATCGGGGATGAGTTCGATAAGATTAAGAGCACGTGATTGGAGTAAATCCAACGCTGCCTCTATTCCGGACAATCTAACATGAGGGATTTGAGGAGTTCGTGCTGGCTGGGGGGATAGGGAAGCAATAACAACGAGTGGCACATTATACATGGCAAGATTCCAGATGCGTGAATGTGCACATATTTCGCTGCAACGTCGGTTCAGGTTCGTTGGCCGGAAAAGAAGATTGATGAAGTCTCTTATATATCACAGGTTACGGTTTAATATAGAGAGCTCTTTTACAAAATTTTAGTTTTATTTAAAACTCTTTATATAAAAATTCAGTCTATTGAAAAAAATCGAGTCTACACACACAGAACATTAAAATACTAAAACATCTAATAGCTATGCATAAAAGTGCTCATTTATGCTAGAAGCATAAAAATATGCTTGTAAACTAGAGATTTATGAGCAGTTTATATCAACATTAAGTTAATGACTTCTATTAATATATTCCTATCGTTTATTACTGAAAGAAAACCAATCCATTTTAAGGTGAATTCTTTATCAATGCCATCTAGTTACAATATCATTTGCCACTTTGGTATATCTCTATTATTGTCACTTTAAATATAATTAATTATAAATATTTTTTTAACTTAAAGATTTGCAATACCGTTTGTAACTTTGAAACAAAGAAAACGAACAATAGTGCAACTTTAATAATGATATGACGTCATCGTTACGTAAAAGTCATTGACATAAATTTAGGCTGAAATAATAAATTATACATTTTAGTTAAGTTATATACCAGCTTCAATAATATTTATTAAAATACATACTTTCAATTTATCTAAACGTTAAATACGCAACGTAATAGTGTCATGAGCCCACTAGTAAATAAAAATACAGAATAATTGAAAATATTCTAAATTTTTGAGTTTAAAGTATAATCTTCATATCCATTTCATGTATTGTTGAAATCTTATATTGATTTCAGTCAATCATCTACAGATGTATGAATTCAATATCTTTTCCTATTGGATCCGTTCAGGTAGACCTTCTCAAGTCTTCAATTGAAAGAAATGAAAGCTATTTTCTAGCAATCTATGTGGGAAAGTGGATTTTATAACAAATTGAATATATTTGAATATCATTCTATGTACATATATATAATACATATCAAATATTTATTAAAAATGACACAAATGTACATTTTTTTATGTACCTGATGATTTATTCAGTTATCACTTAAAATCTTTAAAATACTAAGATAAGAACTATTAGATATAGAAGCTCTCTTTATTTAAATGTCCAAAATTAGTCTTATTAGGGTTAATAAAGAATAAAAAATAATTTATGTAAATCTAAAAGGCATTACAATAAATAATTAAGATTTTTCGACGTTGATCTTGTAAATCTCATATTTTTTATAAATTTTAATTCAAACTTTAAATTTATTTACACCAAAATAAATATTCGTCCACAGAACTTCTGATTAGTAAAATAAACTCTATACAAACAATATTATATTTTTCAGACACATTTCTCGTCTGACCGTAATTACCGTTGGTGAAAAGTAATCGAAACGTCGGGAAAATGTACAAATGAGTAATTAAAAAACCGCGAAGTTATAAACTTTGTTTCATTTAAATATCTCATTTTTTTTATATATATATTTTTTTCTCTTTTATTGTACCAACTCCAGATTTCTTTTCTAGTTTCCTCTATTAAAAAGGTTTCTGGTAGAGATCTTTTTTAAGAGATAACTTATTCTTTGTACATCATATTTCTTTTATAATCATATAACTACTACTTTTGATACATAAATAAATAAATAAAATAAATATATTGCAGAATGTAAACGAATAAAAAAAATGCTATCAATGTTAATCGTCGTCGTAAACAAATTGAATATGGAAACGACCTATAACATATTGGTAGTAATATTGATTGAAAACCCATTGAAATTCCTCTAGACCATGTGTACGGTAGTTTTATGTGCGGTTGGGTGTCCGCTTCACCTACTATCTTTCATTGGCTAGATCTGAACCACAATTGAACATGAACATATACTATAAACGACAGAGACTATTAATATATAACAACATATATATATATATATATATATACAGGGTGACTGGTGAATTACTATCAATATTTAAGGAGCATACTCGGTACATGATTCTCATTCGAATTATGTAAAAAAAATAGGTACTTAATTTTTGACCAAATTTCCGTATAAATAAATAAAGTGTGGACTCGTTCCAAGTGTTCCAAGTGTGGACGCGTGCGGCGGCGTGCTTCACACTACGTGTGTGTGAGTGTGTGTTTACCTAATATGTAGGGGTTCACACGATGCGTAATTAATTACACAACTTTTGTTAAACAGTTTATTAATATTTATGTTATATAAACATATAGATTGTCAAATATCACGTCCTCAAGTATCGATAGTAATTCACCAGTCACCCTGTATATATATATATAGACATAAACTTAACATGTTGACATCATTTCGTAAAAACATATGGAAGCCATTAGTGATGTCAGTTGATCACGAACTATGTATTTGTCCGTCTGTAACAAGACCTAAATAGCAATATGACGTAGTATTAGCATCTCTAATATAACACAAATAAAGTCGTTTCGAGTGAAGCATTTCATAATGCCTCTTAAGTCTTATATCCCCCGGGCGTTTGTTCAACGTCGCCCTTAAAGGGGGCTTGTTCTTAAAAATAGGTGAAGTAGCTATTCATTCACGGTATCACAAGGCTGAGATGTCACTAGGTAACAATGTTCCACACATTCTGTCCTGCAGCATTTTACTGTCAACGTGTCAGTGTTACATTCACATACAACGAGATAAAAATATTTATTTTATAACAAGAATCAATTCGATGGATTGTATATATATGAATGAACAGTATTCGATAAAGGTATGTTATATATTTGATTCGATTAAAATGTTGTTAGCTCAACAAAATCTCTAATATAATGTCAGATAGTATCAATCTTTGTATCGGACATCACAAAGGGATCGCAACATAAAGATGTCGTTTGAAGATAAAATGGCTGAATAAAAGACGTTTACTTTGATGAATACAAAACTGAAATCGGCTTGATTACTGAAACAATACCAGTTTTATGAAATAAAAACATTGAGTTGTATCAACGATACATATTGTTTGAATAATTTAATACTTTGATTTGTCTCACGAATGAAAATAAAACATTTGTTGTGTTAAATATTAAATCGTCAATATTAATTTGTTATATTAATTAATTGTATATGTTTTCTTATCCATCGGGGTCATCTAGTTGTTAATTTATTTACAAACTATGTATATACTCAGAAAATATCTCGGTTCTTATCTATAATTAACTTTAAATAACTTTTAATTCTTTGAACATAAGGTTTATTTTTTAATCACTTATTATCTTATAAATACATTAATTATAATATATCAATCAAATGAAACCAATATTTTCGGATTACTACTTGTGGTTTTTAACTATATACTCCCGGTTACTTTGCAGCTGCCGTGATCACGGATAGACGAGATGTGAATGAATCATCATATATCAATCAATTGATATATGAAATGTATGCAGTATCGTAGTTAGCTGAACGGCAATATATACGCCAGCAAACCACAACGGCATCACCAATCAGTGAACTTTGTTCATTCCGTACTCACGTCGTTACATTATTCACTGAAAACCATATAACTTTAATAGGCCCGCTCCCGTTATAATAAAGACGACCAAATTGGAATCAATTTCGTACATATAATGAATGCCAATTTAAATCGACAACTATTCCATTGTATTAAATTTCAATATCATTATTACAAAAAGTATCACATTGAAAACTTCATTCAAACAATTGTGTCAAAGCAGCAAGCCATAAGCCGTACGATTTCAATGGAAAATAAAACAATTAACAGGTAACAGTGCAATATAGTTCAGAGGTCGACGTGGGCCAGACGAGCCGTGAAACAAAGGATTGCGTTTTGCTCGATTTAATAGTAAAAAAAGTACCAAGTCAACAGAAATTCGTTCGTAAGGTCTTTTATTAATAAACTGTTTATTGTCTAATGGAATCTTAGACTTTCATTACTATTTATTTAAGTAAAACTAATATTAATGGGATTATACGCGTATTTTATTATTTTAAAACTACATATTCCCGACGTTTCTGTTATTTTTCAGCAACCGTGATCACGGGCAGACCGCATAGTAATCCGAATAAAATTAGTTTCGTTTATTGTCTATAATATAAGTAAATAAAATCCTTTTTCTATGAACTTATTTCTTTCTAATGTTTAAGAAACGAATAATATTTTCATATTCAATATATGTACATGTACAGGATGCGATAATAAACTATAAATAATAAGATTTAACTATGTGGTTTAATACAAACTCTTGGCTTAGAAATAGCTTTAGCGTAAATATTTCCCGACACCTTTCACAACAAAATTTTGGCACAACAATCATGATATTTCGCTGGCCAACAATATCAGACCCAATTTTAGTCTCATTAAGTTATCGACTAATTGGCTTTTTTTCCAATTTAAAGAATTCCGAAAAACATTTTTCAGTCAAAGTCGAATTCGGTAAACAAAATATTAAATATTATTTTTTTTATATTTCAAAAGGCAATTCTGCCCTACGTGCTTGGTGGCGAATAGACAAAAGGCTCATTCATTTTCATTTTTCTTTAGCTCGATTTTCTTTCGGTTGATATGGTCAAATACTTAACATTTTAAGCAAAATCTTACTGGAACTAAATTATTATTGACCTTGACTTGACGTTGACATATTTATATGTTATCCAAAATTCAATTTGCAAAGTATATTATGACTATTTTACTAGAATGACCTTGTTATTAAAACACAGAACTTTTAAACTGCTGCAAATGTTATAAATAATTAAGATATAATATAAAATATACATATATTTTTGTTTTAGAAAAAAAATATAAGTACATGTTATACTACAGAAACAATCAAATAAGTAAAAGTAAAGTTGAAATTTTTTTAAAAAATAAATCAAGAAGCTAAGTAAATAATTTTAGTTGTACAAATTTAAATAACAAAAGTAATAATAATTTTACTACCTCAATACAGCTTGATCTTCTTTCGACTAACGAAGTTTTATTACAGGCGTTTTAATGACATGAATTTATTCTGTAAATTTAAACTTTACATTTAATACTATTGAATTTAATTAACTCTGAGATGTCCTGGATTGAGACGTAAGCTAGAACAAATTTTAATTCAACCCTCGACGATAGTTACACGGCAATGCTCTCAGTCGAGAGCGACAGTTTTGCTTCAGATAAATGTCAAATAAATTATATGGGAGAGAAGTTAATGTGACCGCGGGAGTGTTCTTGACATTGAGAAATAATTGTCAATAGTCGTATTGTGAGACATTTACGAGGCTTCTCATACATATTATATAAATATATACATATGTGTACATTCTATAGTTAACATTGTGTAATATAAACTTTCAACCGCACCGCATACACAGAACGAGCAGATTAATATAGGCTTCATATTCTCTCTAAAACTTTGCAACACAAGGGTTACTGATGAATTTTCTAATATAATTAAACTTTTAGATTACATGGACAACATTTGCATACTACGCTACGTCGAGCTATGTGAGACCGGAACGTTATTATAACATTGCCACGTGATACAATACTTTAAAACATCTTCATTGAAATAACTTATTTATATGAAAAAGTAACTCCTAAATTAAATGTTCCACCATAAATTTCAGCTCATTAAACAGCAGGTGTAGCACATAATGTGCGAAAGTCGTTTGCAAGCGGCCACTCGACACCTTACAAATTCTGTAAGGCTTTATACACCGCAATAATTTTCGAAGAAAAGCTCCCAAGATTTTCTTATCACCGAATCTTACGTTCAACCATTAATAAGAGCACAACGATAATAATGTTAATGTTTCTACGTGAAACGCCACACACACCTTGATTCATAAGCGCGTTAAGTGAAGCATTTTAAAGGCAGCGAGCGAAGGGAAAAACTAACTGTTGCGTTGAGAATCGTTATGCCGGCTGAGTGAGTGAGACTTGAATGTAGCTGACGAACCGTTAAAAACACTTACCATTTTCCGACACAAAAAAAATGTAAACAATAAAAGTAACGTCTTAAATAGATTACCAGCTTCATCACTGAGCATAACGAATTTCATATTAGGAATGATTTTCCACACCGGTTGGCAATAAATCATTCAACTTCTCATACATCCACCCAACAACCTTATATTCATCTACCGGAGTAAATGTGTATATATAATAATATTACTCAAGTATATTTAAGAAAATTTTTATATAGAACGTCACATAATGACTAAAACATGTTCTAAAACGTTACAGTTTCTCATACTATTCAATTTGTATTTATGAACCATTAAAACGAAACAAACCAGGTTCCCGTTTAATTTTGTCGTAATTGTTTTGTTGCGCGGTTTTAAACATTTCGACGTTGATTAGTTTTCATTTACGATCCCTTGAAATAGCATTTCAAATACAATTTCAGTACAAACGGGGTTTCGCGAGAGTCAAAATTCATTATTAAAACTTTTGATTCTTAAGCAAGTTTCATTTGTGTCAAATAGTTTGTTTATAAGGTTACTCTATATTACACAGGATATAATCAGAATAAATATTAGTATTGTACAAATAATTCACATTTGTGATTCTGTTTTATATTATATTTACTGTTTTTAACGCAAACATATCTTTTGCTATATCAAAAATTATTTTATAAATTTTGATTTATATTCATAAAAAAATATATATATATATATATCTACGCATATTACAGTTACTTTGTTCCGATGAAGTATCGTACAATCAATATCGATTCATGCAACTACTAAATAAATTAATACACTGTGAGCTGGCATTGGTGCAAGGAATTGTAATAGCTAACTATAGCTATTACATTATATAATATTCCTTATAAAACAAAATACAAACAAAAAACAAACATTAAATACGTGGAAAAAATTAAGAGTATCTTCAAACACAGTTAGACTTATATTTAAAGAAGACAATATTGCAAATTCAAAGCTTTGTCATTAAAAACTAATCATAATTAATAATAACAGAGCTAGACAAATTTCAGAAAAAATACTCTCAATATTGTATAAAAGATTTTAATGACATAGATATTTATTTTTAAGTACCATTCACAATTCATAGATTTTAATATTGCAACATTTGTTCTGAGATAAGTGATTCAGTGTATATATAAACAGGTATAGTATTTATATAAAATCAAATGTCTACCAATCTACGAGTATCAAGTTAGTATTGTAAACATCGTCTGAATCAACACTTTGATATGTTAAAGGGAATGTAGAAACGTGAATTATTATTGTCCAAGTGTATATTGCTTTCTATGTTATTATCAAAAATATTCTTTGTTTTTAAAACGATCACTTTTATATGTTGGGAGAATTTTATGTTTGTGGAAATTTTTCATCATGATATTGTTGCTCTTTACGGCATGCTCAACTTATATTTTTATAGAATTTAAAATCAAAAAATTCTTTAATTTCATGAACAAATCAATGCAATTTCTTACAAAACAATTTATTCATGTATTTTTTTACGGAAAGTAGAAACAATAAGATCTCGCCTAAATTCTTGTACGTGCCAATTTCAAACCCTTGGCAGCAACCTTCCCCCAGCGTTCTGTTTACGTGAGGGTTTTTTCTAATATCGTACCAAAAAAAACACTCATAAAAGCATTGACGTCGAACAAAAAGACTGTATCGGACGACTTCTTTGTATACCTCGAGAACAAACGAAAATTATTTCAAGCATACTTTCTCGACAATGTAAAAGTTATAGAAATTTACGACAACAATGTCATACTAACCTCAGCGAACAAATCACTTATGTGAACGCTTAAAAATTGTACAAGCAGGCCTTTATACAGACTTTGTGTAAAATAAAAAACAAAAAATACATAAAAGAAAACTCTTGTTAGGCGAAGCTGTAAAGGAACATTATCTATTCAGGTTAAAAAGCTTTAAGCGAAACACCGTAAGTGAAAAATAAAGTGTTGTTCTTAAACTACATATGAGGCGACATATTATTTTTAATATTACACAGTAAAGAATAATTTATCTACATATTAATAGGAATTCCGTATAAGAGGATCGAGTTTAAACCCGTAACAAAGATTAAATTTGGTTATCCTCTTATAGGCTCGGATGTTAAACGAATAGAATATTTACAATTCAAACATTATTATTCACCTTAATCAAACCGCTGTTTTGATTTCATATTATAATACACACTATATTATTCAAGACAAACGAAATTATATCCTTGTTTACTTATACCTAACACGGCTTAAGTCGATTTATTAAATAAATTCTCTAACACAATCTTATTATAATTTATTATATCAAAAGAACGTCTTTCTTATGTAGAAAATAATTTAATAAAAAGCGAAAATATATTAATTGAGATATTGTAAGCAATCCAGTTGAAAGAATGCACGCGTGATTTAATCCATCTTTGAACAAATTTTCACAAATAAAGTGTGAATCAACAACTTATATATACATTGGAGTATATTAATATTGAATTCAAAGAATTTCAAAGCATTGCAAAGCGTTCATCGCTAGTTGGGTTATTGCTCCCATGAAGCGTTCAACTAATCTAAACAGCTATAAAGTAAGCGCACACAGGTCACTGAACAAACACTAAGAGATTTACATATATTGAAAACTAACGAAACTGGATTATAAACTAAATACCTACTAGTAAAATAACTCAATGTATAACAAGAACTTCTTAGAAATCAAACAAGATCGTGATATCACCAAGTTAAACGTGAAGGACTAAATATAAACCTATAAAACTAAATAGATTATCAGAAATAGAGCAAGACTTAGTTTATTTTGAACCGTTCGTTGTGAATCCGTGATAAGTCAAATCCAATTACACTACATGTTACCGATGGTGATGTAACGAGATACGTCACCAGTACTCCGATATTGAAGAAAAATATTTTGATACAGTTTTTATAAACTACTAATCAGAACTAAGATCAATTCGAAATACTATTGCGACTAAATTAGTATTTATGAAAAGTTCTACTTATAGAAACTGTTCTGTTATTCAGAAAAATATATGTATGTAATTGCCTTTTTAAGGTAATTGTATCTTTTTTTATATATATACAACATTTTGTAATGCCGTCTCACCTGTCTGTCCATATGCGAAGATGCACGCATTGTATCCATCGAATGCATTGTCAAGTATGTCCCGTCCGAGGCATTCGAACACGGTCTTCTGGGAGGCGAAATGAGGCAGGGTCGGCTCCAGCGAAAAGAAGCAGTGATCAAACGCGAACGTCTTTGGTTGTTTCCTACAAGAAAAAAATATGTTTTTTACTCTTTCCCTGAATTCCATATAGTTTTGGAGCTAGCTAAATCACGAACGACTGTTATCAGTTAGTCAATTCTGATTGTTGTCGCTATCTTCTATATATATAAAAATGGATTGCTGTTCCTTAGTCTCGCTAAAACTATATCTTATAGTCTTGAAAAGGTTCAGGGAAGGTATTTTATTCAACGGTTTTTTTGACATTAGATTTGACAACTAACTAATATGTCAATCATTCTGTCGCACTTCAAAACACGGAGATTTATGGCTTACAAGTAAACCCCAAAAATATAAATAAAAAAACGTAATAGATATTTCTTGATTATAGGGCGATACGAAGTTCGCCAGGTCTTCTAGTAATATATAAAAATGTTTATGTGTGTAAGGTATAGGTCTTACACACACTTAAATAAAGTGTCATTAAGATGACGTGTGTATATGATTGTGTTAGTACACACACACATATATGACACAGTTCAAACTGATGAAGTTAATGTGTTTTTCTTCATCATTTGAACGTTAACTTACTCGAGAATTTACATTTACGATTATGTATTTTATTTTATTTTGAAGCATTATCAACTACACTCCTCTATGTATCCGGGTTAGGTCGAAAACGATTTTTTTCTTTTTGTCAACTTCAGCATGAAATGTAGTTTTTGATAAATTAATTATTTACGTATTTTGCTATAAAATTTTAATTCAATTAAAAAAAAATCTTTTAGAATATAGTAAATTTATAAAACGTTTTTAAAATCCGCTTCAAAGAAGTCTCAAGTGTCGACTATATTAAAAGATACAAAAGAAAAGAAAAAACCTTGAAGCGAGAAAAGTTTCACTTCAAGTCCTATGTATCTTTTTGAGAGAGCCGGGTGTCGTTTTAGGTGATTAAAATTATTTACGGAACGTGCTCTATCTTATGATATTTAATGAAACTTAACGCTTCTGACATAAATTAAAATACTAATGGCTTTTAGAAATAAATAAATTATAATTATATATAATAATAATCCTACTTTATAACGATAACAATTAATTAGAAAGATTATTCTTTTAACATAATAATATCTTTACACATAATTCTAGTTAAACGTTAAAAAATTAAATGAATATGAAATGTAAATAAATAAACTATTATTTATTATAAACAGAATATAATCAATAAATTACGATATATTCGAACAAGTAACCAATTTTCTATATTTCCATGTTATGAAAAAGTATAAAAAAAAAACAAACAATGGAATGAACAAATATCGCTTTATTTTAAAAACAGAGGTATATTGCAATTTACGAAGTTGGCAAATTGATTAAATACTCCTACCAGTTATAAAAAGTGCTTTTGAAATCATAAAAAAAAGAAAAATTCTAATAATATTTTCTTTATATATATTATATGAAAACCAATATTAATATATCTAAGTAGTATCCACATTCTATTGTCTGTAGTTAGAATTGGTAACTTTCTTTACAGAGCACAACAATAGTTCTATTTATATTCCAACAACACCATTTGCATAACGCCGTCCATGACATCCAGTTACAATTATTACTAGCAGCGAGTACATTTTGTTTCTTAACACTTTATTGTAGAAGAGATACTTGTTGCATAATACATTTATTTCAGTCATATTTACTTTGTTTGTTTTCAAGTTTAAAACGTGAACATGTAGGTTTTACGAAAACAATATTTACGAATAGACAATCATTTATTTGTATATTTTTAATGTGTAATAAAAATATACTGAAATTTATCATTTATGTTTACTGCGTATTATGCTTTTCTACAAATTAATATATTTTTATTTGTAAATTCAACATCACTTAAATTATACCCAATATTGGTTATATATATTGACAATAAACTACGGAATTGTATTCAAGACATACATATGTAAGAAATTCCAATTTTTTTCAAATTATTAACTCGTACAAAAATACGACACATAAAAGTGGTCCCACGCTTGTGATCGTTATGATTAATACAAGTTCGCGTCGTAACGACATGTATTTTCCGTTTTTTAATTTAAGATACCTGCAACGATGTATAAATGAAAAACTGTGAACGTTCCGTATGTTGTGTAAAAATGCAAACATAGTATAAGATTACGAGCCACTACGGCTTTAGCCATCTTATCTAATGAGATCGAAGACTTTCGCGAGTATTCATTTAAATGAAACTAATATTATTAGGAATACTACATATAATAAGTCGAAATAATAAATTAACGAAATGAAAAATTTGTAATAGTAATAGCAATAATTAAAATATTAATTTGAGTCGGGCAACCGGTACGCGTAGTAATACGAATAATATTAGTTTCATTCATCTTTTTTAATTTCTATATATTATCAAATCACTTCTCGAATTTTATTGCATTTATCTAATTTGTAACAGAAAATCTTTCAACATAAATTTGATAAAAGACTATCAAAACTATTTTTAATGTATATACTTTGTATGTAAAGAGACATTTAACGAATATCATCATCAAAATATTTAAGCACTAAGTGTGTAGTAGCAATTTAATACATGGGGAGCGTTGAAAGGCGCCTACGGGGATGTTATGTGTCTTGTAAGAGTCGTTAACGTCACGTACGAGATACTAACAGCTGAATTTAGGTAGAGGAGAAGCAATTTAGGGATTTTAGATATCCTTTAAAATTACGTAACAGCATTCCTATATAAAGCTAGTTATGATAGGATTAATTCATAAAAAATTGCTAATTATATTGAATTATGTGAACACTAAACAAAAGTTCCGTTTAAATGTTATAATAATACCAGTTAATGTTGTATCCTCAGCACGAACCGAGGCTCTGTAATCCAGAATTGGCCTGGAATCGTTGCTGTTGCATATTATTACCATTAATCCTATTTTTATTGTTTTTATTTACGTTTATGGCGTAATTATGGCAAAGCATTTTAAAATACATACAAAGTTACAAAGTATTCCATAGTTTAGTTAGTAGTAATAGAAATAAAATAGTATTTACTTATGTTATGAATATATAAGTTACTTTTAAACTCACCTTAATAAAATATCGTATTATTTTTGACGGCTTCGTTTAATCCATTCTTAGTTAAACATTCATTTAAGTTGATATTTATCGTGAGTTCCTTGTACCGTGTTAATAAAAAATCTCTTTTTATATATTAATCCCCAAATGAAACAAGAAACCGAAGCTACATGGAAAATCTGAAACGCTTTAATACGCATCAGAACGATTTATTATTAGGGTAATGCTATTCAGGTCAATCGCCGTTTATGTACATTTTAAACCCAAATTAAATTCGTGAAACTATTGTTAATCTAAAGTATAATAAAGCCAGGGTTTAATTCCGTATAGCCAACATTTCTTCTGATATATTGGTTTAGTCTATAACGTCCAAGATTACACTGAGTATTTTCAACAAACATTTTTGTTAGAAAATACTTTTTTCCTACAGAATACCGTATACCTAGAGACCAAAACTGTAGTAAAACAGAAATAAAAGTACCACGGAATTGAATTTTTTACAGAAAAAAAGTTATTACTTCAATTGTAGGAAATACAAACGAGTGATGGCCGCAGATCTATCTGGTATATCACACGATGCTGTACCGATGCAATCAACATTGGAGAGGAGCCAGACATTTATAGTAAGCAGAACATTTACTATAAGAAATCCAGCTTTTTAAAATCCAAAACATCCAGCGCTTTTTATTTGCCAATTTAATGTATCATAAAGCGTCAAAGCTGCTAGATGAGACGAGATGTAATGTCAACATGAATATATATGGATACTGTTTAACATAAATGTTTCATACTGTATTAAAGTACACAAAATTTACAAAGCGTATCATAAAACTTAAGATAGAACCGTAAATCTGAAAATTAGTCTTTTATCGTACAAACTAGCGAATTATTAGGATATATGGGTACTGTAAAATAGAATGAATGACCTGAATGAAACCATACATTGTAATCAGTTCTTATTATAATGAATGAAGCAAAATTGAGTGAATGGGATGTGAAGTAATTTATTGTACATATTTAATTCGAATCCCAAAAACGTTACTGGTATAATATATAAAAAAGGTTATAGAAGCTCAATTAAATCACACAAATATCAGAAAATTATTGTATTAAAATTGTTGTATAAATATTTCAAAAATATTATTCATATGAAAAATGATGATTGTACGTATATATCAACATTAAAGGTTTTTTGTGTGCTTCGTTGAAATTAGTTTCAGGTACAGCGTTGAACGTTAGCTAGGATTAGCCGTTCGGGGGCGTTGGAAATTGATTTATAACACATTTATACTGTAAGAGATACCGTTACTAAAGCACCTTACAAATCATCGTAATATTCAATTAAGGTACGAATATATTTACTTACGAATCCCATACATATATCTAGAAACTACATATAGAAAACTTCCCTTCAGTAAATATTATAAAGATAAAAAAAATATGAACAAACAAAATAAAACTTTCAACTATAAAAACAAATCTCTACTTTCAATGTCAGCGATGACATTCAAATATTAGTTATATCTCACAGATATCACGAGAAGATCTCTCAGGTACATAACAACGCTTTGGAAAAGCAATAACGCGAGTCACGCCCGTATTAGACTGTCATACAAGCCAAGTTATTCCATATAATATTTTTCCCCCTAACAGATTATGTCTAGCAGAGTACTTAGCTGTCGTATAGAAATACGTAGTATACCAGATTGAAGAGTCTCTTACAGGTTACGTAGATAAAACAGTAAGGGGTGATGTTAGAGAATCAAAAGTGTTCAAACTCAGCGTTAATTAAAACAAACATCATTCTGATGAATATTAATTATCTTCCATACAAAATATGATATACAAATTTCATTAAATTTCGACAAACCACATATATAATATATGTTTCATATAATAAGCCACACATTATTTAATATATCACAGATACAGTATAAATATTGGCATACATTTCATATTAAATTTCATCATAATATCGTATCCTATGTATACTTTCTCCGAAATCCGTCATTCAGTTGTGATGGGACACTTGACATTGGAGACGTGATAGGAATTGTTATTCTCAAGCAGTAGTCCGAGTCAAGGACCCGTAAATGTCAATAAATAAATAACAGATATGAAAAGAAATATACTCACATCAGTACGTAATAAAATTAATTAAAAACATATGATAGCGAGAACTTAGACATAACATCTATATTGTGTTCCTTAGTTACTTACTCTTTATTGATTACTTACTCTTTATTGATTTTATGTTTTGAAAATTAAATAATACATACAATGATTATACTTGATAGTTATTAATAAAATGTCACCTATTTTTTCTATTACAAACTACCCTTCATTCATTAAACACAAGGTCAAAATACTGTCACTTAAAAATTCGCAACTGAAAGTTATAAAAACAAAAAAGGACATTCCATGAGACAATATTAAAAGAAAATGTTTTCTATTTTGTTATTTTAATATTACATAGTATATTTTTAGTGATATAGTGTAGGCGAGCCATCGCAAAGGCTGGACTGACTTGAAGTCATCCTTCCTCAGCTTCGTCTCCCGGGTACGTGGATAATATTCGTCGGTCACCAACGCTATGACGTCATCGCATCTCACCAAAACAATATAATGATAACAAAAACATGACCACACCAAGTTAAGGGCACTAGAGGTAAACAAGACACGGGGGTCGCATTTACCCTCGCCACGGAGGGAAGGCGATGACGTCATTGGCGTCGGATTGACTCGGGAGTGTTCGAACCATACTACAGTTAGAACACAGCCGATTAGACGAAAACATTTCAATAAACAATAACAGGAACCTAATCATTAATCCTGTATATAAACGTATGTTTTAATAAGGTTATTTCATTTAAAGGCTCCCTTAAAATCAATAAGATCACCAATATCAATATTTAACAAGTATTCTGAACCCTGAGTTTAATTAAATTCCACTATGACGAACTCGTCGAGCAATCAACGACTCGGAAAATTAATATAAATTTCTCATCAAGCACTATTTACTCTCACCTGGTAACGGCCTTCGCCATTAGCACGACAGAGACATATTAAACAATTATACTTAGTAATTATCCCTTAATTAAACAAACAAACAAAACAATTACAATATATATCTTCGAACGAACATTTCCTTTTTTTTTTCATTTAGTCCGATATTAGTAGTATTGCCTGACAGTCAGTCAGTGGTGGTGGCCTAGTGATTAATAGACTGCCTCTCATGCACGAGGGCGCAGGTTCGATCCTGGCAAGTATCAATGTGATTTTTCCGAGTCATATGTACTTTCTAAGACTATTTAGACATCACTGATTAATGCATTCCTAAATGAGGGTTGATGTCAGACAGGCGGCGGCCGTACGTAAAAACAATTAGAAAAAACTATTCACAGCATGTAAGGCAGACCCTGGCTATAGCTGGGAAATTGCCAGGTAGAAGAAGATTAGTAGTATTGCCTCAATAAAATAAAAAAAAGAATATTATTGTAATTTTGCTACTTAAAATGATAAATATACAGTCGTACACAACACAGCCAAGTTTTTCTTTTGTCGATGAAGCATAGTCACTATTACAGCTAATGCACATTCTTCCGTCTAGATGAAGTGAAGAACTTACGTTTTGTGCCAAGAAAGTACGATTAAAGCCTCATTAGTATCTACAGACGTACATTCATATATATAATTAAAGTTAATAATAACTTCTAATATATGATACATTAAATTTTACTTACATATTTTAGATACAATTGTCATGCATACATAAATATATATGCAACGAAATGAAATAATTTAAGTGTATTTCATATAAACTGAGTTTTGACATAAACTTTGCCATTATCCAACAAACAGCATACATAAACAGCATTAGTCATTTACAATATCTAATACTTAGTGATGACATTAAATGTGAGGTGAAATCATGTATGTACATAAAACCCAACTATTATTCATTGATAATTCATATTGAAACGATAACTTATATGTTTAAAGATTTCGCAGCTTCAATCATGTTCGAGACTCTCAATCAAGAGTTATCTTAACACAACTATATAACCGGTACTTTAACGTCAGAGCCGTCTTCAACTTAGTCATCGGAGATACTCAACTAAAAGTTTCAGACAGGTGTACTGGACAGGCCAGTGGAAACATCGATTATGATGATCTTTGTATAGTTATGTCATGTTTTTAATGGAAATATTATAAAATTAAGTGGAATATTCAGACAAGTACAACTGTTTGCTTATACCAAGTTATATTGTACTTACATAGAGGTTACCAGTTTTTGTGTAAAAAATCTTTATATTAAAGTATTTACTTACTCAAAATTAATAATTCTAATAACATATTACTCGATAATACAGTGTTAAATAATCCTTATAACGAAAGTAATAACTGATTATATTTATTTTAATAGTTTTTCAGAAACTTTGAGTGTATGCTTTGTTCCTTTTTTAATATGAATTTTCCTTTAGGATTAGGATTTTTACTATTTATTTTAAATGACGTCATTCTACACCCAACAAGGCGAAGAATCAAAGATGACCAAACTATATATTTTTAATGGACGTACGAGTACAAATAACAAATAAAGGAAGTATGAATAACTCATCATATATATATCAATGAAATATTAATGGAATTAAAACTATTCAAAGTCAATTTTATTTTAAACTTTGTACGTATCAACTCGTAATCAATTGTCATTATACATATAATGCAAATTTAAATATATGATATAGACTTTTATCACAGAGATTTACCTACATAGATATACAAGTGAATTAAATTATTCATTATATGCTTCAAAATTATTAATATATTTCTATCATAAAAACATATTTCAATCGCGTAATATTAACGCATAATCAAAATGAATAAATACGAGTATTTAAATCTCTGTAACGATTAAAAAAAGATATAAAAGATTCAAATCCATAGTAATCTAATATGAAGTTATGTTTTTATAAATACCCTGCTGTTTTGTTAAGTAACAAGCCAAAAAAAGTTTTACAGTCTTTACCCTGATATACTATTCAATCTACTGATAATAAATGATGGAGCATTTGTTTTTCGACACTTTTACAACAATCTTAAATAAGAACAAAAAGATTTGTGTATGGTGTCCTTATGTTAATATACTGATGGATCGCTATTCACTGTAATAATGTTTTAAAAGTTTGGGGTAAAGTAAAAAGTTAGGAGATACATCGCTGGATAAAGTCTTGGAATATGCAAAGAGGATCTCATCCATTAGAACTCCTAATATTTGTTGCTGAGATTTATATATTAATATTTCTTTCACTTGCTTTATGCATCATTACATGTATTTTTATACGCTTTGATAAATATTATCCATTCTATTAATTTTTCTCTATAATAATTTTCCATCAGGAATCGAATCCCCAATCCATAAAAGGAAAATCATTTCATCTTCATTGGTTGTGGAAAATGATTTTCCACAACCAATAGTGTTTTAGAAATAGTTGATCAAACAACACCCTCAAGTAGTACGGAAATTATTCTTTTAAAATTCATGTAATAACACAGTCTAGGTTCAATTGTATATGAATGACATAAGAATACTGATAGTTAGAATATTATATGTATAAAAATATAGGATTAAGTTTGTAATAAATCAATGCCTTAAATTTGAGATTACAGATAAACAGTAGTCAAAGTATCACATTCTACGAAAGATAGGAAAGTTATTGTAAGATTTTATTCTTCAAACCAAGGAAATGTATAAGTTTAAAACTTAAAATATATATATATATATGACATAACATCAAAATCAGCAATCCTAACATCTTTTTGATATACATCAAAATCTTTTATAAGCTATGAAATAACAGACACTCATTCAAGTAAACCTCCACATAAATAATAATAGTTACATCAAGAACCTCTTACATATCGAAGTGAGAGAGCTTCTTCGTGTTTTTCATATAAAAGTTATATCAGAGTCCCCGGAGGAGTAACACTAAACTTTTTCACACTTCAAAGGCTCGAGTACTGTTAGCTTCCGTTATTAACCTCTCCTAGAAGGTTATCCATTGAGATTTAAGGACGCTCTGAGTCGATGTCAGAACCTTTTAACGTAAAAGATGATCACGGAATTACTTTTATTTATTAACAGATCGTTTGACATGTAATGTTTTTTACCACAACAGTCAAAAGTCAAAACATTAATGAGTATGAAAATTCATTTTAATCAGACCATACCATACATCAGATATGAAAAGACATATTCATCAATTTTCAATTTTTCTGAAGGCTTTATAATAAAAAAATAACATAAAACCAATCATCCGGAAAGGCCTTTCCGAATATTATTAGAATATAGGGAGAATTTATTCATGTATTCTAAAAAATATCTTATTCAAGTCCCGCATTGAATACACCAGAAAGTTATAGACGCGTGTAAATTCATGTACAGTATAGGAATCGTAAAAGAAAAATATTTACCATTGCTTTCTAGAATTTTCCGATCTATAGAAAACAAAATATTCAGGTAGCGTTATACAAAAAAAAATATTCAACATGATCGAACAAAAACCAAAAACGTATTATTTCTTACTGTTTTGTTCAGTCATTTTTGCGATTGCGATATCTCTAGCGATTGTATTAAAGACGGTCTCAATAACTGCGAATCGTATACGTTTTAATATTATTCTCCATATCAGTGACACATGAGATGCATTATTCAGTCGGATGTGCAGCGAAAGCTTCCGATGCGAGACGGTCGGACGCGACGAGTGGCTTTCGTAAACAGCATGAGCATACCATCCATTGTTAGATTTCACGGAAAACCTGAGCTGAATATTGAAAAAACAACAATCATCAACACGTCTAGACTATGACTCAGACCCGATAGAGAATTCAATGGTGGTAACGACGACAAAAAACATAAACAAATAAATACATATAGAGTAAAAGAAAACTAATTTAAACATATTTTGAAACTGTTTATATATATAAAGTTATTTTATTTTTAAGTCGAAACCACACTAACATAACTAATAGCAAAATGGACATCGAAAGTGCTTTCCACTCGAACCGTGGCTCTATACGACGACTGCGATCGATTTTCATTTGCAAATAGCTAACTCAATAGAGAACCGAGTAGTTTATGTAAAAAAATATGCTTGTTAGGCTTCACTTCGCCTGTAAAATATTGTAAGGAAATAAATCATTGTACCAATTCAAATTACAAATTATTTCAACTATTGGTTCATATTCATTAGGCACAGTATTGTATTGACATATCTTATGCTTCAGAAAAATTACAAAGAATAAAATCTTCTATAAAAATTTTAATATTAAGGTATTCGTTTCGAAATTAAATATTCGTTTTCAAAACTTAAATTTTCTAAACAAAACCACTTTTTAATCAGAGAAATGGAATGTTAATACAGCATCTTTAGAATGCTATGAGGTGTAGTACTGTGTCCATATATACATACATATGCGGGATATAATTTATTGAACAAATCCCATTATATCCTTGAATCAAATCGAATCCGTCGCCAGGGTGACTGGTTGGCAAACATCAGTGACGTACCACCAGCTATCGATCACAGAACACCGACCTCAGAGACGTCACCGCCCCACCCATTGTATTGTTACATTAAACTCAACAGCGAACGTATAACGTGTCGTTCACCGACACTCATATACATACATCACTTATTAAAACAAATTCCACAATAAAATCATACTTTATATCATCAATACTTCACTGATGACGTAACTAGAACCGTTTGTATCACGAGAATTCAAGGGTTA